AAAAAAAAAAAAAATGCATTAGACTTTACTTTATGTGTTATATTGTCACAAATAGGAACATATGATAAACTTCACCTAGTAGCTTTTCATATAAGAAAATTTTCAGTAGTCAAGTTCAACTACAAGAGTTACAAAAAAGAACTTCTTACAATTGTGGATTCATTTGAAAAATGGCACCATTATATAAAAGGCTCTTCTAATCTATTCACTATTTATAAGAACTATAAGAATCTTAAATATTTTATGTCAATACACGTTTTGAATTATTACTAAGCCTATTGAAACATACATTCCTAGAAAAGAAGATAATATCAAGGATATATATATTTATTCTATTAATTATCTATCTAATTAAGTAGAAATATATAAAAATAGATAAAAATAAATTAATTTCATGATATCTTCTAGAAAAGCTTTGTAGAAACTTAATAGATATAATTTTGACTTTACATATATTTATAATTAATTTTTAGATTAGAAACTTGGTCAATAAGTTAGCTATATGTTATATCTGTGGATAGCTTGTGAAATAAGCTAATAATGTGGTACATATATAAAAAAATTATCTTGCAAATTAAAACATGTGGCTTGTAAAGTCAAAATTAAAACATGTGGCTTGTAAAGTCTTATAGAATGTTGCCACATAACTCTTAGGTGGATAGTATATATACAGGCAAGAATAAAGCTTTCTTCATTCTTATCAACTCCTTTTTTGCTCTAATCTAGATTCAAGAGTTTTTAATTTTTTTGTCTTTTAGCAATAGCTAGTTTAATTTCTTTTTATTATACATCTTTTGTTACTTCTATTTTATCATACTTCTTTGAAAAAAGTCTCACTTGATTATTTGTTTTTATCAAGTTCTTGTCCTTGACACCTTCTTGTCATTCTTCTTTTTAATTGCAAGACAATTGAAGTAATCTTTTGTATAAGTTCTAAACTATTAAATGTTGTTGCTCTAAAATAGATGACACAATTTATTGGAATTACCACAAATAGCAAGGGAATGACTTTCTGATATTATAATGAGGATGATCAAGATAACTATTAATAAGATTGTATGAATGTAATATGCTCTGCCATAACTTAACCTCATGATTCAAGTCAAATATGTCAAGTTGTATGATGATCAATTTGTTAATATCTTAACAAATTTCATATCTCACCTTTACCAAAAATTCAATCTTATTCAAAAGATGGATTATATATGTCCAAAATTTATGGATATGCAATAGTCATCCATGAAGAAATTATTTGATTTTTTGCGACAAAGACACATGGTGATCTATGAGTATTTTTTACAAAAGCAGCATTTATGTATTTCTCTTCCTATTTGGTGGATAGTTCTATTTGCACACAATAATGTTATGGAAGTCATCTCTATTGTTGTTGTTTTATTATATGAATTCTTGCTCAAGAATGCTTGGGGCACTTGGTTGTAGAAGATAAAGTTGTATTTTGCAAATATCTAAAAAGCCGAATAGGTTTCAACCATCTAAATACAAAGTAATTCGAATTTCAATTCAAAAGTGCTTAAATCCAATACAACGTATTCAAAAACACTCTTTATAGTAACTTCAACTATACACAAATTCCAATTGCCTTATTACTTTCATAATTAGGCAATTTAATTTCTCCTTATAACCCTTTATCCTAGTCAATGAGTTTTAGCAAGTTATAACTTCTAATTTGACCATCCACTTGATGTAAAATTTTGCATACAAATGCTACAATAAATATTCTACATACTCAAAAATATTCAGCTCAATCCAACTTACAAATTGTGAGAAAAAGTCCAAAAACCGCACTGATGATACTTGGTTGCTAACTTGAAAGTTGATGCAAATGTTCCAGTAGCAATTTCTTCTTCTTCAACTATTAACTTTAATTCAAAATTTGGATATATCTTTATCTTAAAGTCTTCTACTACTATGCCAAATTTTACCTTGATCCAACTAATAGATCTTTAGATATCATAGAAATCCTATCCAACTCCAAACTGCCAACTTCTAATATTTTTTTGTACCAAAACTCAAATATTTCCTAATTGCATTATTAGATTAAAACAAAATTTTACACACACTTGGCACACCCAATCAATAAGCACTATCAAATTTTGAATTGTAGATGTGACACCAATTGCATGAACTAGCTAAGAGTATTAGCTCTAATTATATTGCATAAATCTCAAATCACCAATACAAACCCTGATTTTGAACAAAAATTGCAAAGTCATTCTAAATCCTTTGAAAACAAGACTTGCAACTTTAAAATCAACCTAAAGCTAGCTCACCAACCTTTATTTTTGATCTTCAAATGCCCTCATATTTTATCCTAAGCAGTCGTTTTAATGGCTAGAGGTTTAATTTCAACCTTGTCCCACAAATGGTCGACCCCCGGATATCAATCTAATCTATCCTAGGGATATTTTAGTCCAATCCTACCCTCAATTTAATCTTAGTATCAACCATGTTAATTACTTACGTCTTCTAATCTGATTTTATCAATTTATGGCCTTTCTAAGGCACTAGAAGAGTTTCTACAATCTAGAAGATAAAATTACTAATCAACCTTTAATCTATTAACTATTAAGACAAGAAAATAAATTAAGAGGCTTTTATAAAATTCATGTTTAAATATCTTGAATTATAATTAAATTAAGATGATTAAATATTAATTAAAAATTCATTTTTGATTACATCTTCACCATATAGTCATGTTACAACACAACAATGTGACATGCTTACAAGGATTCAATATCCTCTTAAATCAATAGAAAGCCTAGCTCAAAGGCTTGATTTAATTATTAGTCTTAGTATGCAAGGTGCAAGATCCACATAATTTAGAAACTCTAGCCATGATTTTCAACGAGCCAAACTTCATCATCTATGGATCTTGGTGTGTAGCTCTCATAAGTGTAGAGGCCTTCATTCAAGATCAAGGCACCTTCATAATGAGCACATTGGCTTTGATACTTACAGCTAAGGCCGAGGCTGTGGTTTATTTGGTAGCGACCTTATTTGCTAGTCTTGTTGATGGCATCTCAACCATTGTTATTCAATGTGATTGCAACAACAACACCAATAACGAGAACATTCCAAAAGTCCTATTCCATGATTTTTATAGGTTATGAATGTCTCCATTATGCATTTCCATCCATTGGTACAAGATGTAGTTGGAATTGGCTAGGTGGAATGCTCAATCAATTGATGATATTGAGAACAACCACCAAGCCATAGTATATGCCTATTTCAAAGAAACTGCCTTCAAGGATGTTGTTGACAAGTGCTCTAATTTGCAATCAAAATTTCACTTCAAATGGCTTCATTGCAATGTCTGGTTTTTATGACTTTAAAGGTTTTGTGGTGAATTGGCCTCCATTTTTTCTAATACAAGCATTGTCAAATTTGACTTCTTTGTGACTGAATGAGAGAAGCACAAGTTATTGGCAATACCTTACCAACTTCTTACTTGAGAGTATTTTGCACTCAAAGCAGTTTGACAAAGTCTATCAAAATTGACAAGGATGGATATTTTTGGACAACTTTGTAGATGAAATTCATCCATCTTTAGTTTAACTAAAATAAAACCTGGCCATGACCCTAGAATAAGCTAAATTAGGTATTACAGGGAAAGCATTAAATTAAAGTGGCCTGAATATCACCCTGATTCACCCATCAGGAGATAGTCCCAAACTAGTGCTGCTGCTGGTATCAGAACGGCAAAAAATAGAGATCTTAACAACCGTCGTACGTCAAAGAATTTAAGATATTTTTCTCTCATACGATTTATCCACAGATGAAGAAAACTCCGCTGACCCCGCCAACAATGTAGTGAAAACAAACCCTTCATGTAGCTCGCCTACACTATTTCACAACCCGTCCTATCAATGCGCTACACTTATTATTACAACAAAAACAGAATGCCTCCATCAAGACTTTAGGAGCCTGTAAACTCAGAAGTCTACGTAATTCATAGGTCACTTGAACATAATTCCACATAAAAGAGGATTAATAATCGCATGAAGGTCTTCTTCGATAGCGCGACATAGATGAGCTCACGCTATCGAACAGAGAATCTGTCAAATAATCAGATATGAAAGTCCTTCCACGCCAATCACTACCAATCGCAGCACCCCTACTCTTTAAAATTCCAGCCCCTAAAATCATTACTACATAATCTCCTTGATACGCTCTTTAAATGATCGTTGCAAAACTGAAAAAAAGACATTCGCATTCAGCGGTGATCACGCCAATCATACCGGCGGACTGTTGAGAAAGTGCATCAACAGCTCTGGAAGGCATTTCGAAGCGGGTAGCTGCGGTGCGAATATTGGCAAGACTTTCCTGCAGTACCGAGGCTTCCCCATCCACCTGCTCCACGCTCAACTTGCTAATCTCCTCCATCTTGCCTCCGGAGACGCCATAGCACCCACCAGCGCATGTGCTTGCTCGAGCTCCTCGCCTTTGTTTCTCAAAAAACCTGAACAACCCCCATCTAACACTGCACCAACTGGTAAGGCGAGTGAGCAGGGCACGAGAAGAAAGGTCATCAATGTACGTTTCAGACGCACTGAGTCAGGAGTCCCTCTCATATGTCCAAATTGGGAACTGGGTTGTCGTCCTTAGTTTCCTGCGTTAGGAATTCATTACAGACGACAACCAGGGTTTTGTTTATTCAATGATGCGCGAGGAGTGTTCCTTCTAGACTCAGCAACAGAGAATGCCGAAAACCACGCTTCACATGAAGATTTGTCTCGTTTGGTCCGCTATGACCATACATTGTTCAGAGTGAGGATTCAATTCACAGGCACTTGCTTCACGTGGATTAAAAAAAGGGGAACAGTTGACCGAAGAGAATACACGGATTCTGCCTGCGTACAATTCTCTGCGCTCTGTGAGCTGAATTCTTGCATGGACCTGCCTTTTCATACCATGAATTATTTAACAGTTCATTACAAACATCATTATCCATTTGTTATGAATCTCATGTTTCCCACGCATTTTTTGAGAACGTTGGTCAAAAAGGTCCATTTTAGTATTTCGATGTTGTGGGGTTTCTGAAGTCTAAAACTAATATTCAGCAACAATGCAGAGCAACCAATTTCCAGGTGATATCTGCTAAAACCTTCCTAACGACGCATCTGACGTGGTAAAACTGTGAGTCTTTGTGGACCTTGCTGGAAGAGACTGTACTGATTTTGAGCCCCAGCCAATGTGATAGAAAACAATGAAAATAATCTAAAATTAAACGATCTAAACTCAAATCTATACAATGTGACGGTCTCCTTGCGGTTTCAAGTCCGGGTTCCGACGAGGATTCATGTCAACACACGAGATGGAAGCGGCGTCCTCGTCGTCTTCACATGTAAGCCATTTAACGGCGTCAGGATTCTTTAACAACAATTTCGAGGTTAAATAACCAGCAATCGACCAGGTTTGGTACAGCCGAGCTTGCTTTCCAATAAAGCGGCCCGATTTGGTGTCATAATATTCAGGCCACCAATCTTTCGAAAGACGTTTCTCAGCAATTGCTACTGCTTTCTCAGCAAGATCCGAGCGGCCCATCTTAATACAAGCAAGAGTGAACTGCCAAAGAAGAACCGGCCATGAACCTCCATTGTGATACGACCAAGCTCTGCACACAATCCGTGCATCAGTGGATTCTTACATGCTAGAATGAAGTGCCCCAAAGCATATCGAAAAAGACTTACAGAAAGTGCTGATGTTGTTTACCACATTCAATTTTACTGCAGCATACTAGATATCACATTGCAATCTATTCTGTGACTTGAAGAGGCTGTCAAATGACCCGCCAAGTCCATCACAAAAGGAGATAAGATCCATATACACCACCAGTCAGTAGAGTTCTTACGTATTTTTGGGGTCTGCCCCAGTAATAATACGCCACTCATCCTCTTCAAGAGTAGGGTAGCAGATTTTCAACGGCATTGTGCCGATGAGATCCTCCCATTTCTTTTCAACGAGCGTCAAAATTTCTTCGGACTGCTCCTTCGTCGCCAGAGCACTACAGATTGACCATATATTTCCCAAAGTAAACCATCGAAAATCCATGTGCGCAGGTTGCAAGTTGCCTATGAAGTAGCCTCCCTGCTCTGGCAACCAATCCAGCAACCACCGGGAAATCTGATCCGGATAAATGTTGAACTTATTAACTGCGTCGCTGGAGTATTCCTCGGTCCTATACCTGTAGATTTCATTTAGCTTGCGGATGTCTAACCAGTAGTACTCCTGGATGTGGAAAGACAAGGCAGCCAGCCTGGAGTTGACTGATCGAATTAAATCATGGGCTTCAGGGTGGAGCATCTCCTTAGCACATCGCAAAGCGTGATAAAACAAGGCCTGCAGGATACAGATAAATCAAATTTGTTTCGACATGAATCAGATTTAGAAATGAACCCCAGTTTCTGTTTAATATTTTCATGTCTAATTTAATACAGAGAGGAGAGTAAGAGGAAAAAGAAACCTGTATCTCAAGGGGATGTCCGTGCGTGCCCATGCGCCGGTCAATCATCATGGAGCCGTCCGTCACCAGCAAGGATGGGAACATGTCAAAGCCATCAGCCAAACAAACCTTCAAGATCATCTTGATCCCAGTCTGCACGTCCACTCTTTCCTGTAATGTAAGGTCTCCTGTGCACTTGCCGTAAGCCCTTAACAATATGATCCACCACAACCCTGTCAAACCAACAGCATCGATTGCAATTAGACAATTGGTCACCACAAGCAATTGTAGCAAAGACAATACAATGTCGAAAATTGTAGTAAGCTCACCGGAATCTACAGGAGCAACTCGCCCAATGGCCGCCTCCCCAAAATCAGGTTGCAATATTTCTTCAGTTTCCTTCACTCCTTCACGATCTAAGAATACCGTTTGCACCTTGAAACTTGCTGGCATCAATCCCTGGCCCGGGGTGTAGCAATCCACCGTCTTCTCCCAGCTCTGTCACACATTGTTTCACATTAAGAATTACACAAGTTCAAAACCCTTGCACATGCACATCCGAATTCCACATTCACAAAAGAAAATTCTACCCTAACCGGTGGAAGAACATTGGTGCAGAAAGTTTATCATTACTCCAAAAAAGCTATAAAAATAAAAAATAAAATCCGGTGCAATACCTGGAGTTGGAGGGTATGGTGAATGAAGTTGCGAACAATCTCGTGCTCCCCTTTGAGCAGGAACGCAATCGCTGACGGGATGAAATCTCTAATGAACACCTGATCGTAGTTTAAGGGGTACGGGTCGGTGGGGTCATTGGCTGCGATAGTGCCCACTGGCTGCCCACAATAACTCACCACCGCTTTCTTCAACAACCGCCATGCTTCTGCCTCCAGAGGACTCTCATCGAGCGCTTTATAACCATTTCCATTGCTTCCTGCTCCATCGTTCGTATTAGAGTCGACTGATTCTGGTCGCTGCGACAACTCTTCGACCAAGACATCTTCCCTCCTGGATGAACTCTTCGTGTCGACACATATTGAATCTTCGGGGGTTGCACCTTGTAACGAGGAGACTACCACCTTCTCTTGCAAAGCCTCTCTCTCTAGGTGCGCCTGGTTATTATACACCACTCTTGACGAATCCCCTGCATTCTGCTCACACTTGATACACGTATAGCTTCGACCTTGCTTGTGGAATGCCACTCGCTTCGGGCTATACCCCCATGAATCGCCCACCTTCCGTTGAGCTGAGGAAACGGAAGCTGCGCCGTGGCAGCCTGAGGCTGCCAAAGGCTCGACTAAACGTAACGTCGACTTCATGTAAGAAATCAACTATTCCAACCCTAAAGCTAAAGAGCAGATTGCAGGCTCCGGCGTTTACGTCAACAAGCCACAATCACTAGATTGAGACGCAGTTTGCGCTTCATACCACGCATCTCACCACTACCATTGTTCTACCAATCCAACGCAAAAGGAAAAAAAAAAAAAAAAAAAAAAAAAAAAAAAACACACTCACTCGAACTGAATGCACTGCAAGAAAAGAAAAGAAAAGAAAAAACAAAACGAAACGAAACGAAACGAAACACCAACGATCAAACCCCAGATCGAAGAAACTCCCAGTAACAAGACGCCACCTCCTCCACGGAAACCCTCTCAACCAACTACCAGACCTCACGTACTTCAGCAAAAGCAACCACCACCTCGATCAAATCTTCAGTAGGCCTCTTCCCGCTGATGAAAAAAGAATATGTTGCGCAATAACTGAAGCGCGGAGAGGGACTTTTCATACTTCAGATTACGATGAATATGCAGCTGAGCACCATAAACCCATCAACCGTTAGCTGCGTTCACTAGCTGTGTTCACCCGGAAAGGATGCAGCGCGGCACGAATCGACAAGTGTAACATCCAGGAGTGGCAGCCTCGAGAGTGGGAACAGCCTGACCGCACCCTTTAAAGGGTGCCTAGAGCAGTCGATATTGAGAGAAGGGGCGCCCGGAGAGTCCACGATTCAATCCACGCCTCATTCCCACGTGTAGTTGCCTCGTCCTCGCCGTCTCCGATCCTCATCCCCGGCACAATTCTACGACATCGCTTCTCCCACTTTCTGCTGGTATTCAAAGTCTACCGTAAAAACAAAACCTGACAATCTTCGCCGCTATTTTTAGTCTGCATCGCCGTCGCCCTACGGAGCCACCACCCCTTCATGCTCGTAGATGAATGTGTGATGAATGGTGGATCCCTGCGCCTGTTCTGATTGATTCTCGACGCTCTTTTGCGCGTTATCGATTGATGTCGAGGAGAGGCGATAAGGTTGTGATGGGTTTTGCTGAAAATAGAGGGGGTGTGTTTGTGTGGTTGGGTAGACTTTGGAAGGTTGGGTTTTGGTCTAGCTTTTTGCGCTTTTGCGCTTTTATCTGTGGTCGTCGGAGGGGCAAAAAGGGGAAGATTGCGATTGTGATTGGGATCCACGACGACTGCTGAGTCATGGCAGGCCTATCAGACACCATGAAGAGAGCCCAACGCGCCTGATTGGAATAGGCGATGGGGAGCATGTCTCCACGCTTGTTGGGGTGGCGTTTCTCAGTCGTCGTCATCGCCGTCGACGTCGTCGTCGTCATCGCGCGTGCGCTCGTGCAGGTGGTGGCTAAATCTTATGCCCATTCTGATGGCGCTTCGTTTGCTGCGACGGATTCTGATGCTTCGCGATGCACAATACTGTTGTTGTTGCTGCCTTATAGGCCGCCGGCACTCCAAACCCTAATTCTCGGTCTAACCCTAATTTCGAAATACAAGTTCAAATCCTGTATCGCATTTACACCTTGTGCATCGAAGTTCACATGTGCCTCAACGTGTTGATTGTCTTGTTGCAAATGTCTGGACATGGTATAGACAAAGCTTTTGTAAGTGCAAGGCAAACATAGAAAGCAGAATTGCACACCATTGTAATGAACTTTCTATCCAATTGAATGTATTCTAAATTAAGTGTGTTCGACAAAGTGGAGTGCATGCTATGTCCTAAGTGACATTGTGTGTAGAAATTGCCTATTTCAACCAGTAGAGAAAGGCAGAACAAATACATTGTTGGTAGCTTTGATGACATGAGACAAAGCTTGTATTTATAAATAAAGAAGCCGAGGTGTTTGTTTGTGCAAAAGATGAACACATGAAATAAAGTAAAAATGAAAATGTTGTTAAAATGTTGTTTGCAAAGATGCAAACAATTGATGGTCTACAATGGTATTCTCAATATTTTCACTCTTATTTTCTCTTCTATATTGTATGCAATGTTAGTATTGTGAACATTTCCAAATGAACTTTATATTTTTCACATTCTTCTTATGAAATATCTATACAATTATTATTTTTATGCATGCAAACTTCCCCTTTTTGCCCAATTATATTTTATCTACACAATTATTATTAGTATTATTGATTATACTAATAATAATTGTGTAGATAATTATAGTAATTTACTGGTCATTATTGATTATACATAACCACACATAAGATTTCAAATTCAATTGCATGAAAGTTCTAATGAAAGGATATGTACCTCTCCCTAGTTTATTTCCCTTTCACGTGTTGTATATATATATATATACACACACACACACACACACATATATATATATATATATATATATATATCGAAGAGATGCATAATTTTATTCAACTTTATTGTTTATATGTAGAATTCTGTGTTCGGATTATGTAGATCAGATGTTGTCAATCCGAAATTCAATTATCTTGCAGTTTGCTGTTTGAAGTTGCAATTGAAATATGCACTCTTCCAAATAGTCATCTGCATTTTTCTATATATATATATATATTTTTTGAATAAACATTAAAATACCTATACATTTCAAACATCCACCCAAGATACTTGAATTCATTTTAGTTTGTTTCACCCTTGAAGCACTGGAACTAACTTGGATGACACCCAGACGAACAGACTTTCGGTACAATAATGAGCAGGATCACCCATCCATCCACCCATCCATCCACCCATCCATCCACCCATCCATCCACCCATCCATCCACCCATCCATCCCACGGATAAGGGTGGAGATCTTCTGCCGTGCGATGCACGGCGAAGGGCTCGTAGGAAGGCTGTCATCGTGGCTTTTCTTCAAGGTGGCCACAGCACCCTTCATTGCGAACCCCATCGCGGACTCCTCGCCTCTCGGTCACCGCATTGTAAGACACACGACGGATTCTAATGCCGTGGGAGAGAAAGAGCGAGAGCGAGGGAGAGCGAGAGAGTGCGCGCAACAAGTAGGATGAGAATTAGATAGCAGCGTAAGGATTCAACGTTGAATTCCTCGTAATTGGCACTTCATATCAGAAGGTTAATTCCGAGGTTTTGGAAGATGATTCCGGCCTCGATGCGGACCTGGAGGCGTGTGGGATTGTATAACTTGTGACCGATTCTACCTACGAGTGCAAACTCACTTCCCACTGGATCTGTGTCTCCCGAATACTTCGCGTATTCAGTCCTAGTTATATTATCTGTTATAGGAATCTATGATTGTGGGATTGGACCTGGTGTTGATCATATCTGTTTAATTTGAGATGGAAATACAGCCAATTGTAATTAGTTCAGGGCAGTCCTTGTATGAATCATTGCAGGCCTTTCAGGATACCAACAGCAATTTAATTCGTAGAATTTAAACTATCCAGTGTCTTCTCGAAACAAACGTAACGCTGGACCGTCCCTTAACTGAAGCGCGGTTCACTTCGAATTGATGGTTGATTGAGTGTTGTTAGCCGTTGACAACATTGGTAAGTGGTTATGGCTTGCACAGTGGAGCCATTTCAAACACATGGGTGTCTACATGGGATAACAAACTTCTTTACTCTATGTAGTGAGAAATGAACAACGGATTATGCTTAACTCGAGGACACCAACGGTTAAATCCTTCGAACGGGAGATCCAAGAATCTATTCTGATGTAAAATTATGGCTGCCTACCTGTGGGAGGGTTATAAGGACATAACTTGTAGTCAACAAAGATTTGTGGAGTCGTCATCGCTTGCCGGTTGCATACACTTTGCTGCTGAGAGATCAACTCTATCGCACTCAGGCATTCAAATGTTTCATGATCGTTGGAGGATGGAAGCAATTTTGAGACCTTTGACAATCTCTTTCTACGTAAACTCTTCACTTCATCAAATTATTGCAGCGGCAGGATATGTTCTGTCCAAGAGCGACGTGAGACAACTCTTCAGGGGTAGAATTCCAATTTTTTTGTGAAACCACTTCTTTTAATGCCATCCTAATGCCTTGTGGGCTTTCCAGCTTTCCATCAACCCGCCATACGCACCACAAGGATCGACTCACAATCCGCCAAAACATCGAATCACAAACTCAAACTCAGATACGTTCAATTGATCAGTTCCAGCTGCCGGAAATGGTGTGGCAACACAAGCAAATGATGGGGCCAAGGAACAAATTGGCCAGATATAAGAACCACAATAATTTGGTCGAAGAAACAGCGTAATTGGTTTCGTCAGGAGCTCTCAGAGGGGTTGAGCAGCAGTCACTATGACTGACGAAGAAGAAGTAGAGGGGGAAGAGGAGGAGGAGGAGGAAAAGCCAGAAGCAGCAGGCGGGCCAACAAATCCATCAGAAATTCACAAAAACATGACACAGCATGCAGCATTTGTTGCTGAAAAACTGAACGCACTGTTCGCCACAACCGTCAAAATTCAGGTAATCGAGCAACTGACTCACCTCTGATATTATCTGAATCTCACAAGATCAGGTCGAAGTCTCCATACATCGATTCACGCTCATTACACAGAAGGTTTGGTACTGTGCAGGGAGATATAGCTGACCTAGAAAACAAACTGCGGGCTGAGTTTGATGAAAAGGTCCGGGTGCACCACGAGCTGGCCATGACACGGATTGTAGCACTGGAGGAGCTTTGCACTGTCTATGGCCTCAGGCTGGACGATCAGAAGAGGACACAAGAGCAGCAAGCTATGCAGCTCGATGATCTTCAGAACCAAGTTGGCATTCTATTCTTCAGGTTTCACTGATGCTAGCGGTTCACAATACAACCTTCAACGAGCAGACAAACAAGGACACACACTGAGGCCGTGAAATCTCGTGTCGGTACATTTGTAGCTCGAAAACCCAGCAGATTGCATTTAGTGGTTGCATGGTTTTCTACTCCTTTTCACAGATAACCTAAAACGAGTAAATAGTATTCCCAACTATATAGTTCGATCCTAATCATCAAGAGATCCCAAATACTGATTCAAATTGGCAATGCAGAGTGGAAATTGTAGTGGTGTGTGTGACGTAGATACGGCAACCACAGAGCACATGAAGAAAAGTTCCAAGTCTTGGTTTAATGGATTCACATCGTGAAGAAATGCATTCTTCCATTTCTTCATGGAGGCATTTGTGACTATGAAACTCTCTATCTCAGCATATCATTCATTAAATAACTAACATTCAGTGACCCACTCTATTTGCGAGAGAGTATGAGATGTTCATGGCTACTTGTAGCGGATTCATGCCAAATTCCTGCGCCTCCATAAGTGCACAGCTTTGCAGGTGTAGTCAACTCCTTATTGCTCAAAGGAAAGATCAATTCCTTTTGACACAACTCCAAGATTGAAGTTGCCATGAAAAACTGTTGGTTCTATTTTTTTCAACCTTTTGGGTAACGTGATTTCTATTTATTTATTTATTATTATTATTATTATTATTATTATTCCCAAATAACATTATTCATCACAATTTTTATTTTTTTATTTTCAAAGTTTGGTTTTGAACTTGGAACAAGTTTCAACTTTTCTATTATTTTTTAATACTTGAAGTGTTTAACTATTTTTTCTTTTTTTCTTTTTTTCTTTCTGGGTGTTCTCTAATTTTGGTTTTGAAGGTTATAGCTTTACAGAATTAAAAATAAAACATTGGATACAATGATTACTAAGGATTGAAATCGAATGCTGCATTAATTGTTTTTTTTTTTTTTTTTCTATTTTTTTTTTTTAGCCCAAGTCTTATTTAAAGCTACTTCAATACATTTGATTGACATAAAAATATAAAATTCATGTATGTACTTTTAAAAAATATATTGAATGCTTTAAGTTTCATTATATCAAGGATTGAATCTAAGCAATCTCAACTCTTTGAAATATGTGGTGCCATATTTCTGGATCCATGTATGTGTGAATATATATGTATATATATTCACTCATTTATATTCAGTACAAAATCACATTATTCATAGGTTCCTCCTTAAAATTCAAATTTTCTTTATAATTTGAATGCATGTTATTGTTTTTGTTGAAATAAAAATTATGATAAATTACATATAGCATTTTTTGTACTTGATTATTTCCATACACTTAAATTCAACACAAGGCAAAATTTACCCTTTCTGATTATTATTAATCTATTATCATAATTATATTTTAAAAAAATTCTCAAAGCATAAAATATTACATTAAAATGAAATATGCACAACATGGCTGTTGAAAAATAATAATTTATACGTTAATTTAATACCAAGGGCAAGAGCCACAAAATAGTCCAACCAACACTCGATTCACCAAACATAATAATAATAATAATAAAATGTATGCGAAGACGGCTTCGTCAACGGGACCAACACCGACTCCCGACACGCTCCGTCATCGTTAGCCATTTCTCGTCCATAAGAAACAAACGAAGATGCACCTTATGTCCAAGACGACGTCCAAACTCGACGGACGTAAAAGGCAAAGAGACTCAACCGACGGCTAAAGTAAAAAGGCAGAGATACAACCGACGGCGAAAGAAAAAAGGCAGAGATCGAACCGACGGCGAACGTGGGAAGGGATGAGAGTGAGCCGACGGCGGACAGATGAAGGTTTGAACGGCGCGGGGAGGAGGGACCCACTCACACTTCCTCCTCGTCGCGAGAGGGGACTCTTACGGGACTGCGGTCAGCGGAGCCCAAGTGAGCGAGAAAAGAGAGCGCGGGGTGAGAGAGCGAGAGATCGAGAACGAGAAAGAGTAAGAGAGTGAGGGAGAGCGAGAGGGAGTTTTACCGGGACCGCTTGGGGGAGCTCAGCTGGTGCTTGAGATGCTCTTCCTGGGTCGCGTACCCTAGCTTGTCGCTGTTGCTGCACCCACCCACACTCGGTGATGCTCTACGCGCATTCGTTTCGTTTCATAGCAGGCGTGGTTTTGCGGTTCTGGTTTGGGCAAGCGTGAACCGTGGCGTCACAGGCTCCGTTGGGATTCGAACTTGTTGGTCGTGTGGGTTGATGCACCTGCTGCTGCTTGCGAACCTGGTGCGATTTCGGGTGCTGGCTGGAAATTGAATCCAATTTTGGGGTGTGCATGGAGGAATTTTCTGGAAGCGTTGAGGCAGCGGGAGCTTAATTTGCAGGATGCGTATTTTGTGTGAGGGGGTTGTGAGCCATTGGCGCAGTCGTGAGAGCGTATGTTGCTTTTGGCCAGTGCGGGTGGGTTGTATGAGAATTTAAGAAGGTTGCTTTTCGGAAGCTACTAGTCGTTGGTGGTGGCAGTCGAGAGGGTGGTGATATTATTATTTTTCTGGAAAGGTTGAGCATTTTCGCAGAGGAGTGGTGACTGAAGGCATGGCTTGGGAGATGACTCGGCGAATGTTCTTGACTATTCTGTGGCGTGGCTGATTGACTTCAGGGAACTAGGTTTAGAGCTTATGAAGCGCTCTTATCTAGGGTATATTTCGTGTTGGAAAGCTTGCTTCTGTATTCAAAAGCTTGAGGTTAGAGTTCTTATACAATCTGGGACGGGGACCGTCGGGTGGCTGTTAGCAGGTATTAATATGTGTCAGATTGGGACCTCATGCTGTCGCACGTCTCTGTGGTTATTTCAAGGCATCAGCAAAGGAATTACTTGTCTACAGAAGTAGCCCGTTCAGATTGACCTATTAGGACTCGTGTCTGGAAAGTAGCAGGTGGACCTTACCGACATCTTGATATTCAGTCTGCAATCGTCTGCTTACAACGGTAATACTTAGTGCTGGTTTCGGAGTTGTATCTGGGTTGCAGGGAATTTCCCCAGGTCACAGAGAAACACGCTCCATCTTATTCTTCTCACTGCGCATCAAGGATGACTGGAATGTCTTCCAACGGCGAGAGCCTTTTTCGATTGCTCTCAGCAGCTCCTAGTGCGTTCTCTCTCATGCATCCCCTTATTTTCTAACTTTACTTATCTATTTGTTTTGTTCAAAGGAGTATATATGTATTTGATGGCTCCTTAGTTACCAAGGTGCCCATGAGCGTACTAGTATTTTTTGGTATACAGGTGGACCCTAGGTTCTGTCATGCGATATGCTTCCAACTGCTACCAGTTTCACTCTCTTGGTTGGTCTAACAGCAAAGAGCAATCTGGGTCAAAATCACTTACGGAACAGTCTACTTTCATGTGATTACTTTGCAATTGAATTACTCAAGCAGTCATATGTTCATCATTAAAGCTAGTGGCGCTTACTTGGGGCAAAGACAATTTCTCACATTTATAATGTAGTGGTTGTTCCTCTTAGACAATTAATGCTAGGGTTGACTTAAGTTTCTAGGGTAGTTCTGATCGGCGCTAATACTTTGATATGGGATTTCTTTACGAGTGCTAATGCTGTGTATGAGTAGTGGTGATTGGTGTAAAATTCAAAAGACCGTTATCTGGATTTTTAAGAAATCTTTTCAGATTGTTTTGTTGGAAACTCTTGCTTGAGATATTTCGGACGACTCAATATTGTGTTTTTGCTGCAGGAACTCGGGAGTTGACTGGGGCAGTTGATCTCATTTCGCACTATCAACTGCGAGAACATTACGAATCCTTTTGCAAGAAGCCTTTGTCAACAAAGGTATCCGACTCTAACTATTTAAGCAACGTAGTTGGAGACACTGAACTTCGAAGAGGAGAGGGCATGGAGCTTAGTCAGCTTATAAGTGGTCCAGCGATGACCTCGATGCCTTCAGATCGTGTGCCCTTTCAGCCTTTTGATCTTGAAGTGCTGCGAAAGGCATTCACATTAAAAGAAGCTGGTCCAATCTTTTTACCAGAGGTGAACAATCTTGCTTATAAGTTTTTGATATATTACTTCGATTCGTCATCTGCAGTGTGCAGCCCAATTTTGACGTGAATTTCTCCTCATTATCCTGCAGTCCGAAAGGGGTGTTCCTGTCGCTAAGGGTGATGAGGAAAAGAAGAAGAAACATAAGAAGGACAGAGATAGGCACCACAAAAAGGATAGAGATAAAGATAAGGACAAGGACAAGGACAAAAAGAAGGATAGAGACAAAGACAAGAAGAGGGAAAAGGACAAAGACAAAGATCGGAGCAAATCAGAGAACGGCGAGAAAAAGCATAAAAAGAAGGTACGGTGTTCCTCATTTTTAAGCTGCTGCAGGCAAATCGGGTGGTTTCAGCTTTCACTACCATCTTGGCTCCACGTGCACCATTTTGCATCATTTTTAGCTCTTGCTGTTTTAGAGAATGGTCTCCAAATGTTACTGGTATGATGGTACTTTGTGTCTGCAGAAGAGGAAACATGAGGTGGAAGAAGGCGAGGATGGGCATAAACATAAATCTAAAAAGGTGGGCTTCGAAGTTTCAGGAATGAGTTTCCTTTCACCTTCTAAGTAATTTGGTCTGTGATTCGAATCTTCTGATATGTCTGGCCATTGTATTGCAGCACAAACATTCTTTGAAGGTCGAAGGCCATACAATGAAAAATGGAAAATGAAAGGCGCATGAGCTTGTTTCTCATGAAGGATATCATTTCGTGGGGCTTCTATAGTCTTTCACAAAACTTATTGGTAAGTTCTTCATGTAGTATCATCATATAGAAAATTTATAAATGCTTAGTTATAAGTTATTGATTTAAGCAATAGTTTGTAAAAACTTTGATGAGTCGTACACTAAGTATTCGATTATTATTTGTTCATGACCTTTGATTTGACTAAATCCGTGTTATGTGGTATGCCGATTTATCGAACCCCGTTAACTTTTTGCGTTTGGATGTGTTGCAGTCAAAATGTGGTTGGTGGAACATTTCCTGATTCGAAAGATCCCTTTGTGATCTTGGTTGTAGCATAGAGTCGATGTAAATGTGATTACCAAAAAGCTTATGATGTGGCAGCAAGTTGTCCCAGAGTACTCAAACGGCATGTATTATACTCTTCTTTGTGATCAAAGAGCTTGTCATTTTAGGAAGTCCTTTGTCAGGTGTGCACATTTGCACTCTGGATTCTTTGATTTGCAAAACGCAAGTCATGTTAAAGATATTTGGCAGCTTCTCAAACCAAATTTTGAAGCGTCTTGTTGATGTGTCCACGTAATTCATGAGCTTTTTTTCGCATTTGGACCACTGTCAGGATGGGGTGTGCTTTTACCAGATTTCTGTTGCTGGTTAGAATGTGAAGCAAGTTCTTTGAGACGCGGAATGTGTTTTATGATATTCGAGGGGATAATTTTTTCACATTTTCTGTGATAAATATTTTTGCTGGACTTGGTCGACCATTGGAACCCTGTCTGCAGAGAAAAGGAAACTCAGGAACTTCTATATTGTTCCTGCGTCTTCATTTTTTATCGATAGCAGTTTCAGTTTTTTTTCAAAATCGAACAGGAAATTAAATCAAATGTTTAACTTGTCAACTCCAGTCGGTGTAATATGCGGAGAGTGCACATTATATTGGGAGCTAATCTGAACAACATCCGGATTCGGCCTGGTTAATATACCATAGTGTCTAGAACCATTAACCTCTATCCTCTGCGTGTTGTTTAAGCCTGACGGGATTTGTCTTCTGACGAGATCTTGTTATTCCAAAGACTTTGGGAGTCGATTACGATGACAGTATTGCCTGCTACATACAATGGCCATAGATATCTGTGCACATCGAAATCTATTGGGTGCAATACCTATTCTAGTGAGGCTTGTGGCACAAATCAACATCAATCAGTTCTTAATGTAGGGATCACAAGTCTCCGCCTACAGTCTCGTTGAACTGAGACGGATTGAAGCGTCTCAAGACGTGGCTGATCCACTTCAGTTAGAGCTTGAACCTGATGTATCTGTCGTCAGAAAGTAAAATTTCTCCTTAGCTTCATTTCTTTTCAAAATACTGTGAATCTTTAATCATTCTGTACATAAATATTCCTCCTTTATTCCTTTTATTTTTAAATTACACAATCTTGCGGTCACTGCTTGAGGTCATTTGTGAGGCATCATTGTTGAGAGCTCATGCAATTCTCCCACTGCTTCGCACTCTGCTTGCCTGCCCTAATGATAAACCTTGGTGTATCGTTGGGTCAATGAATTATCTGGAATTTTTTTAAGAATTTATGATTTTGTCTTGTTTGTGTGCTGTAAATGCTCATTGCGCCAAGAGAAAGCATGCACTCCTATCATTTTCAATTACAAGCGCAAGAATAAAACGTTGGTTCTTTGTGTCCTTACCTTGTTTACAGTGTTCAGCAGAACGATTGGATTCTGCCTCAAGGATGCATATATGTGGACACTCCTTGTGAAGTTCACTTTCAAGCGGTGGCTTTACAAGCACAAGAGACTGACTGAACAGAACTGGTGTCTCTGCCGAACCTCTGAAACAGAAAAAACAAACACGAGGACATGGTCTTGAAACTCCTCGAACTTTAATGGCGGTCCAACCCTTGAATTGGCAGTGCTTTCTTAAGAAACTGTTGGAATGTAGTTCTCATGCCCTGGCGTGGCCAATCGTTCGATACGGCACACAGAATGCAAGGATTTCTACCAGGCGTGCCGGAGGTGGAGTGATGTTTGAGATTAATTGGAGGTTCGCCTGAATGTGGAGTACAGCTGGTGATTAGAATACAAGTCTCTGATTTGCTACGTTTTGCGACTGGAATAGCGAAGCCTAACTAATTCCCATGTTACAGGATGGCTGTTCTAGACCCATAGGGCTCTCACACACGAACAAGACGAGGTGTACAAGATCGAACCGTCCGAAGTGGGAAACTTGATGAGTATTTTACCTCTGACTGCAGGCTGAAGTAATCAGACGACCCGGTAGCTCTCACTAGGAGATTCACAAAAGATATACCTACCAAACATGCTCACATTAGTCCTTGACGGCGCCTGTGCACAGTGTCAGTCAAAGTATCATGCTCTTTTGGAAACCCAACACTATCGTTCACAGAATATATGAGGCATTGTCGCGTAGATGAGCTTTCGCCGATGTCAATGGTTGGAATGGCACTGTGTCGTGTAGGTAGTAGACTTTTCCTAACCTTGCATTAACATACTTGCTATGTGAGCAACCTGGTGTCTTGCTTCTCACTCCAGGTGTTGGCAATCGAATTCTGACCTTTTTGTGACACGTTTCTAACTCCTCAATTAATTCAACCCTTCACGATTTGAGATTGTCGGTCAAAATTGCGTGTATGTTTTCTGTAACGTCAAACTATAGCTTGCGGGATTGCCTGTCATGAGCCGCGTCTTGTGCCAAGAACTTCGATTGAATGTCTTCAAGTTTTTGTAAAACTTCTACAATTGTTCGCCGCGGTGATGGTGATGGTGTCCAGCAAAGCGTGGCCGATCCTTGAGTCTGCACGATTCATCATTTTGTTCTCTGCTAATGTACATTTATATAGTTTCAGCAGCTCTGGATCTAAAACATCGAGGACACTCTATTTCAAAATGGCAGCTTTTACGAGCTCGGGTCCAACCGTTGTATCAGTGACTGACTTCTATCTCCAGGTTTTTTCTTGTCAGTATCTCAAGCAAGCCAATGGCGTGGCTGAAAGCATCGATTTTCGTAGAAGGTTGCTTAGACTCTCGACCTTGAAACACGTTGGGAGTTAGTTCTTCTCATACATCATAATAGAAATATAGAGGTTTGAAAACAGTTACTGGGCACTTCACAGCGTTATTATATAGTTTGAGTACGGGTGTCTTGTAATGCAAAACATTAGGACGTGAGATAGGATGCCTCGTATCAGGTTATTTGAGTTGGACCTTGTGGACCCCTCATCATCTGCTCCGAAAACGAAGCCGTTGATTATTTGAGATAGAGTCCGTAATCTGTCAGAAGAGCAGTGCGATGCCCATCCACCAGTATGGTTGAACACTTGAGATTTGCAAGTACAAGTGGACGTGACGGCTCAAAATGCGGGTGAGCGAGCCCCTGGGCTGCACGTAGCGCAAGCTTTTTGTCTCTGCTGCCAGTTCAAGGTACATTTTCCTGCATTCGTTATGTTATAAGTGATTAGAACGGCCTGAACCCATCTTGCGAAATGTTAATCGTTTCGATATACTGATGGCGAATGGTGTCAGACGAATATAGTCGCTTACCGTGGATGAGCAGCTTCTCGTTTACTGCAACTCAACTCGTAAGCTTCCATGAGACGAAGGTCGATGACTGTCAATCGCAGTGGTTCTGTGACCGACTCAGACCCTTCTCCTGCAATGTCCTACTTGATCAAGCGCAGAGAAATCATGTGCTTGATGGGCAACTAATTTTGATAAATCTTGTCATATCTTGTCTCCTCTAACTTCTATGACAACGTATTAGTAAAGAAATCATGTAAAGGAAACACGAAAGTCCTTAGTAACTTTGCTACCTTTTTGCTGTTTTTGTATTATAATGATAAAAACATGAATCTAATTGCAGCTCGTCCTATGATCCCCGGAGATTGTTTCCATATGTGGTGTTGCTTACCTCGTAGGCAGACCTCAACAGTGTGTGTTCCATCTAGGCACTTACACCACCCTCGTAGAACTACACAAACCTCCCTCGCCGGAACTTCGCCTCGTCATCCAGCAATCTTCTCTCGCGAAGAGAATGCGTCTTCTGAAGCCACAACTCGTATGCCGACAGTGTGGTCATCTATAACTGTTGGGTCAGAGACTGCTCAGTAATGCAGGTACATCCCTGATGGCAAATCATGCACACGGAACGTCGAAGTCGCGGCGGGTTCCTCTCAAAAACTCTAAGGTGGTAGGATGTTTTCAGAGGACGATCTATGCCTATGAAACCGTTCCCCACAATTTTGAACCCGTCAGCTTATCCTTTTCTTTAATGGAAGAGAAGTGTGGTGCGGTGATGTTGCAAGTGCCAAGTGACAGGATTGGTGGATAATGATGTTTATTGTTTAGGGGAGCAGTGGGTGACAAAAGAACGTGCCGTTAATGTGGAACTTCTTGCATCTACATGCATGGGGCTTCATTCTGGTGATCCGCTAGCAACGGCAACCATGTAGATCAAGCAGTCAAAGGTGTCTCATTATTGATGAATCATTAATTAACTTGAATGCCCTTATCACCATGTGCGACTAGGTTTCAGAGATTGTCAGAAGAAAATCATTTAAAAGTGGATGATAGATTTTGTTGATCAAACGAATAAAGAGATGCGAGGCCCTCGGTGGCAGTGGATGCCCTTGTAAAAGACATGGGGACAATTCCCCATGGCCCGTGTGTGATGTACCTTGTCCTCTCACTCTCTGCTTGCAGTTTGATAATTCTGCTAAGCTTGATCAGACCGATCACCTTGAAGATGGCCACTGTTATCGATGACGGCTTTGCAGATTAAGATGTGAGAATATAGGCCATAAATTTTACTTTCTCGTCTTTCAAGGACACCGAATTAATGAAGATACCAGGAAATAAGTACGTCTAGCAATCACTACAATTCACGGTTCAAGATGCCATACACATCTGGGTTTCACAGATTTCAATGATGAACCTAGCAGTTAAGACATTTTGACTTCAAGCCTTGTCACGCATCCCAAGTTTCATTAACATGTCTAGCTGGCCAACTTTTAGCTTTTCATTTTGGCTGCTTATAGGCATTAAATCTGAAGAAAAAAATATATATACTGCGAAACAGGAGAAGAATATGAAGATGATGCCCAGGAAGTAAAAGTTCCTGCCTAAGTATCTTGCAAAATAATTTGCTGTTCTTGTTGCCATGGCCCATGATCGAGCACTTCGCTGATAGATACTTGCACCAAACGTGTCCCATCCACCTAGTCTTGGAATTTTTACTTTAAGACTATAGAATTCCCAGGCCAGTTTCAAGGATTTCAAACAAAATGAAAAACTTTTCCACAGACAGACTATTTCCCACGACACTGGTTTCCTACCTTAAGCAGATTAATAAACCAATTGATCAAGCTAGAAAAGATGCTCAGCTGTTACAATGCGATCAGTCGTGTTGTCTGAATTGTTGATATACCAAGCGATTAGAAGAGAATAATGAGCTTGAACTGACGGTCTTTTACTAAATTGCTTCTTAAACTCAGAGCTCTGGCGAAACTCCACAAGTGCTTAAAATTGTTCTGATTGAGCACCAGCGGATAGTGAATCACAGCCTAAAATCTACTCATCTTACTGGGTCGTCGCTCGGAATGTTAATTCACCGTTGGCTGTGATAACTGGTTGAAACTCGAATGATCCTTGTGCAGACTCTAACACGGTTTGCAGAGCATTCTCCGACACTTTCTCTTCTCTGAAATTTCGACTAGAATCGACATTGGAATCATCTTTGCTCACAGGACCGTCTGCCTCCACGGTAAACTGGTGCGTTCCTGTCATACCATTCTGTCCACTTGTTTCTTGCAACCTAAAGGTCTCCTGAGGATTGAGCCTCCCTCCTTCGACCTCTTCATTATCACGGGATACCGAAAGACCATTGCCTTCCCAAGACTGGGCGCTTGATCGAAAAAGCAATATCTGGACGTCTCCCTGTTCATGCAGGGTTTCAGGTCTGTTCATTGAATACAAAGAATCTCCAGAAGAGATAGTTCTGACTCGCTTCATGAAGTGCTTACATTTGGAACACAGATTTCTTCGTTCTTGTGGTATGTTGACAAGATGAAAATCTGTGGAGCCTGTTTCTCTTCTCTGAGCAACATCCAGCTGCACACACTCACGACTAGCAGGTGTTTCAGTCGCCATTTTTGGCTGCGTTAACCCATTTTCGTTCAGAATCCCTGTGGTGCATGTGCATGTGTGATTGCCCTCAGTAGTTTCCGTTGCAGGCACCGGTGGGGCAGGCAAGGGGAGACAACGGTTGACCAGTATCCAGGATGGAGTGTCGCTTGTAATTACCTCTACTGTAACGTCCGATGAGGGAGGACGAACTCTGCAGTTGCGCGTAGAGTCTGCAATTATAGAATCACCGAATGATCCCGTAAGCTCTGACATGCTCATGCGGCAGACTGGGCAAGTAGTCTGCTTTTCAAACCAAGCACCCACACAGAGAGTGTGAAAGACGTGGCCGCAAAAAGGCAGCTGCCGCAGAACTTCCCACTCTTCGTATTCCACTAGGCAAATCGGGCACCTAGTTACATGAGAATCCTCAATTAGAAAGATTTGATCTCATCAAGGTCGCACACGCTAAAACCTATTTCCATTGAGACAATGCCACTTTCAGAAACCGACGTTTTGCTTTGAATCCCAGGAGCATTCACTCAGATGCTTCCAAAGTTTACCTGAACGATTCCTTCCTTTCAATGTGAACTTCTTTGCAACATTGACAGATGTTACCTTAGGAGTTAACTCACGAAACCTAATTCTCCTCTCGTTATTAACGATGACTCAGCACCGCAACGACAGCCTAATAAAAATGATTCAACGTGAGAGATCACAATTACAATGACAAGGCCTCTGGCGGAGATAGGAAAACTACTCATACCCAGTTCTATATTTTACATTATCATGTTAATATCCGCCCCCTACCGAATTGAACTTCAGTAGCCTCTGTGATTACCAGTACAGCATCGGACTTCACCACAAATGGAGCAGTTCTCACAGCCTGGCCGCCAAATTAGATTACAGCTCTACCCATGAAAAGTAGAGCTGAAAGAAAAGCAGATACTAGTGACACGGATTTCATATCAAGAAGGTACCGTGAATGATGTCGAGACATAGACATTGTTGCGTTTTAAATTAATGCTCATCCCATAGAGTTCATCACACAAAACAAGGCTCTCAATTTGGTTTACTTAAGGTTACAGGTAAGCCTCCTTTGATCAGAGCATACGCCCTTCCACACAGCAAACACGAGTGACATTCAGAACAAACTTGGCTGATTGGTCAAGAATAGCACTTACTGCAGATCTTCAGCAGCTGTGCACTCCAGCTCACATGCTTTTATAGTTGGAAATGTCTCCACCACGTTCTTCCCAATCCCGAATTCAACCTTTCGACGCAAACAACTGATTTGCATGACTTTGGGTTATCGTCTCAGGCAAAATAGCTGATTCAAGGAAATATATTCCCTGTAGAATTGAAATCTAAAGAGGAGGTGAGTGCTTACGGGGAAGTCGTCCTGAACTGGTGCAGATTGGGCGGACAGAAGTCGAGCTCGGAGTTGCCGAATGCGCCAGTAGTAATAAAAGAGTGTGAAACAAACAATCATGGTCAGTCCAAAGGCAATAGGGGTTCCTATCATAGCTGCTTCCAGTTTTTCCCACCCTTCGTATGTTTGGGACCCTTCACCGATCACCTCCTAAAACTTGCCTCTCGCTCCATGCCTGCAACCTCTCTGTACTTCATTCTATCCGCAGAAGTTGATGATGTGACGAAACCTTCTTAAAAAGCTGTACTATCATGGCAAATCGTTCCAAGGTATGAGTCATAAAAAGGTTACCTGTAATGAAAAATTGAATCTTGTTTTCAGGATCCTGATACTGTCACCGTGTGCTATGATCATGACAATCAACTTCTCGATTCACAGACATACTTGAGGGAGTGGAAAGTAGCTAAGTGCTCCCGAGAGCAACATCTCTCAACAATGTCACGCAAGTACAGTGTGTCTAACTCTCCTTATCACTTGGATTGCCCTTCGCAGTTCTCTTTCAGTGTAAATAACCCTCACCTCACAACAGACAAGCTCATTAAACTCCCCACAAAACCCTCTCTTCAACAAGGATCAATAATCACACTCCACACCTCCAAGACCCCTGAGAGGAGCTCAATCACGCACAGTTTGCTACTTCCATACTACAGCAAGCCTATGTCTCCCCAGAGCCATTTCCCCATGTCAAACAGCTCGCAAATCTCGCTCTTCCATCAACAAATCCACTGATAATCAATTAACGCACACACATATATTCAGACTTGCGCTTCAAAAAGTTTCAGAAACTTTAACTTCAATGTGATCAGGCTCCCTAAAGTCACCACCAAGAAACACCACCGCGTGGCTTAAACCTCGACGTCACGAAGGAACAGCACGACCCTACAACTTAAACCTCAACGAGGCACAGACACAGGCCCTACTACAACGACCTTCAGCACTTCAACCTAGCTGATTGACAAGCTATCTCCATTTCCGTTTTACAAAAACAGAACTGCACCTTGAACCTAACGAAGCAAACTTGGACGATCCCAGACTAGGAATCAAAATAAATAGAAACAATACAACAACCACAAAAATTAAATAAAACAAAAAATGAAACACAGCAGAACTCATGAAGACGAAAAGGAGAATGGCGAAGGGGAAGTGGTAGTAGCCGCCTCACCAGAAGTCAGAAGAAAAGGAGGGAACAGATGACCTCCCTCCCTCTGTATTTACGACTCATGAGAGCTCCACTGTGTGTTTGAGTAACTTCACACATGTGTTGTCAGGGAGCTACAGAGGCCTGCCTTAGGATCACCGATTTGACCTTCACTTCTCGGTTTCTATCAATTGCCTTGCCAAATTAGTTGTAGACAGTGATACAAGTTCTGTTGAAGTTGAAAGGTCTGCCCAGCTGCAGAGAGATTTCTGCCTTTGGCTGTACGTTGCAGATGACTCTTGGAGGAAGATGGACTTGGACTTGTCGTTTAAGTTGGTGAGGAAAAACGGGTGTTTAATCTCTAGAGGCTTGAGCTTGAGCTGAAAGGACTTGGACACAGCCCACTTTTAAGTTGCACTGGTACAAGGACAGTGAGGGGTCCTGATTTTTTGTCATCAAACAGCAGCACTAAAACTGTGAGAATTATGGTTTTATCCACGTACTACTTGACTAATGGTTGAGGCTGAAGGGCACCTCGCACTTTGAGCCCCTTTCATTTCTGGTGGGTACACCTGCTAGAGGCCCTGTCTAGTGATATCACATATTCTCAGTCCTTTCTTTTATTTGTTGTGTTCCCGTTTCTTTTAGTTTTGAAGTTTAGTTTTAACATGTCGATTTGAACCTGTGCTTGCAATTCCTAATGTGGGTTATTATGTTTCGACTGTTTTGACAAATAAAAAGTAAAAACCTTCCGTTTCGAAAATAAAATAATTGTGGGGAGAGATTGTTGATTGTATGCTTCAAATCCATGAATGAGCTCGTTTAGTCTTTTCTTCTCAAATTCTGGTTTTATTTTTGTTTGTTTTCTTCTTCTTCTTTCTTTCTTTTTTCTTTGTCTCAGATTCAGCAGTATGGGAATGCAAAGTGGTCATTCCATGCTTCAGTTTTAGGGTTTCACCGAGCGGATTGTTCAAATCCGATATGTCAGAAGCATATGCACTACTTCCTCAATGGAAACATACACACAGGCAACATCCGTCCTTTGCACGCTCACTCTCTCTTTCTCTTTCTCTTTCAAACAGAGCCACTTCAACCACACATTGTGACACCAAAAGGCTGTGACTCTAACACTTGGGCAACACACACAGAGAGAGACTCATCACATGGACACCCAAACTCCCCTCCCTCCCCAAAACCACATAAAAAACACAACAGCACCTCAGCTTAGTTCAGTGCAATGCACACCAAAGCAGCAGCCGAGCCAAGTGATGGTGGGGCAGGAGGGTATACAAACCAAGGCTTGAAAGACACAACCATGAATTGAAAGTGGAAACAAAAGAAGAGTGCAAAAGGAGGTAAGTTAATCAAGAAGGAGAAGAATAACCCTCTGCAATAGCAACAACAACAACAACAACAACAGCAGTAGTAAGCATTGAAAAGATGTCAGTCAGAGCCAGAGAGAGAGAGAGAGAGAAAGAGGGAGAGAGAGAGAGAGTGTGAACGAGAGAGTGAAAGAGGGAATGGCAGGTCAGGCTGCTGCTGCTCCAGCTGCTGCAACAACAGAGGCAGCAGCTGGGCTGAGCTTCATCACAATCAAGCACTCTCCCCTCCATCACTGCAACCCATCTTTGCAACCCCCCTCCCCCAGAAAAATTTATTTGTTTTGTTTTGTTGTGATAGTAAACAAAGCAGAGCTTAGTAAAGGGAGGGGAAGTAAGAAAGAAAAGCGTGAGAGGGTGGGTGGGAGTGAGTGAGTGAGAGACTCCACGGCACAGCAGGAAAGTCCTATTGTCCATCCATCAGTCACATGCAGAGAGGTCACCTTCCTTCCTCACTTTCTTCTTCTTTCTTTCCTTCTTTCTGTTTTTGGGTACACTGGGTACCACCCTCTCTACCTCCCCTGTAAAGCTCTCTCTCTCTCTCTGTATCCCTCTTCTGGCTCAGGTCAGATTACTCTGGTCAGGCACAGGCTTCTTCCCTTCATTTCCTTGCAATCTGACGTCTAGGCAAGCTTTCTTTTTCCTTCTTCCTTTTTGTTTTATTCTAGGTTTCTTTTTGCCTCTCTCTGGGCAGTGTGGAGAAGTTTTCATTTTCATTTTTAGTTTGGGCAGTGTCTGTCCAAAGCAGCTCTGGGTTTTTTATTTTGTTTGTATCTCTTTTTCCTGAACCAAAGCCATCACCAAGCATTATCTCCAGCCCACTTTAAACTAGGTCTTTCCCTCAAATACCTAATTTACCTTATTCTAAGGTTGTGTCCAGGTTTTATTTTAGGTCACTAGGGATGGATGAAATTTATCTTTAGAGTTGTCTAAAATCATCCATCCTTGTCAAATTTGATAGACTTTGTTGAATTGTTTTGAGTGTAGAATACTCTCAAGCGAGAAGTCAATAAGGCATTGCTAATGCTTGTCCTTTTCCTACTTAATCACGGAGGAGTCAGATATGATAGTGCTTGTATTAGAAAAAATAAAAGCTTGTCCACCACAAAATCTTTGAAGCCATAGAAATTGGCCATTGTAATGAGCCCATCCAACATGAAATTTTGTTTGCAAATTAGAATACTTATCAATAGCGTCCTTAGAGGTAATTTCCTTCTAATAGGTGTGCACCATGGTTTGGTGGTCATTCTTCATATCCTTCATTAAATGAGCATCTCATCTAGCCAATTTCAATCACATTTTGTGTTGACAAATGGAAATATATAGTGGAGATATCCATAGTCTACACAAATCATGAAATACGACTTTTAGAATGTTCTTGTAGCTAGCGTTGTTATTGCAATCATGTTAAGAAATAATAAATGCAATGTTATTAATGAAACCATGAAACAAAGATGCCACCAAATGAACTATAAATTCGACCTTGGTTGTAGGCAATGAAGCCAAGGTGCTCATTACAAATGTGCCTTAATCTTAGATGAAGGTCTTTGCACTCATTAGAGCCATATACTAAGATCTATGGATGACCAAGTTTGGGGCGCCATAAACCATGGCTAGAGTCTCTATATTGTGTGGACCTTGTACTTTGCACAATGAGACCAATAATTGCATCAAGCCTTTGAGCTAGGCTTTTTGTTGATTCAAGAAGATATTAAATCTTTGTAACTATGTCATAATAGTGGAAATTACTTTTGCAACATTATTGAGAGCAAACAATACCACCTACCAAAAAGAAAAAAAGATACATGCAAGTTGCTTTTATTTGAGATACTTACAGATCACTGTGCATCCTTGGAACAAAATTTGGACATTTTTTTTTTTAGATGATCACTTCATATCTATGAATTTTAGGCACATACAACCTATCTTCTTGATAAGATTGAATTGTGAGTAAAAGTAAGAAATAAGGCCCATTAAGATGTTGACATATTAGTCGTCATATAACTTGATATATTTGGCTTTGACCATGAAGTCAAGTTGATATAGAACTCACTATATCTGCACAATTCTATTAGTAGTTACCTCATACATTCTTGGCACAATATTAGAAAGCTGCTCTATTATCGTCCACTTGCCATCTATAGTAATTCTAACAAGTTGTGTTGTCTATTTTGGAGCAATAATATCCAAAAGTTTTGAACCTACAATGAAGATTACTTTGATTGTTTTGCAATCAAAAAAAAGAATGGCAAGAAAGTGAAGATTGTATAACTTAGATTGATACTCAAATCAAACTTAGAAGTCAAGATATGAGGTGCATTGTTTTGAACTAACATCAAGAGTAAGCAAAAATGCCTACTAGATGCAAAAGAGCTTTGTAATATTTACAAGCTCACAACACAAACCATCCTCACAAACGAAGTTGTATGAATTTCACTGCATTCACTAAAGCAATCCATGTACAATAAAGTCTTTGTGACATCCACAAGATGTATCACCATTCAAAATGAAGCTCTACACAAGACAAAGTTGATGACAAGATAGAGCAAATGCAAAGATTTGATCTTCACCTTGTTCGCTTCGAGGTTCAAATCCTTCTTTCTACTAAATTCAACTTGGTCATTGTTTGCATCTTTGAACAACTTGAAAATCAACAATGCATGTCGGCACAAATTTGTCATCATCAAGATTGAATATCATCAATAACGACATCCACAATGTCCCAATTGATTTTGAATGTGAATAACTTCTTGGTGTTGAGTAGAATTGTGAGGGTGTTTTTGAAATTCACCTAGTCAAAGAACTTCTACTTTGAGGCATGAGAAATGGCGTTATATTTTGCCCATGCCTTGGTATGCTATGACTTCATGTGTATTGTGATGTTGCCAATGCAAAAAAGAATTGTAAAAAATTCACATTCACCATTTGCTTTTGCTTATGCCCTATGAAATTGATATCTTCATGGCCAAGATTCTCATAGGACAAGCAATGGGTTGAAATAAGTTGATCCTTGTTTTCATCTCATAGATTCAGTATGAGGCTAAACTTCGTTCCTATAGATGATTTTCAAGGGGTTTGCATCTCCTTCACCATTGTGAATTTGATGTACATACTTCAACCTAACTATTGTGAATGTACATCAATTTCACAATGGTATTGAATTACATCATGATGCGCCTCTCCAAGCGAAAGAAGACTATTGTTGCCTTATTTTAGAGCATCTCTCAAACCTTATTTTAGAAAAATTAAGATTTTTTGCAAAAATCCCTAATTTAAAGTGGCTTCATTATCTCTCACTCTCACTTTTCTTAAAACATCCAATTATGTAACTATGTATGTGTGCATGTATTGCCATTCAAAACCTCTCTACTCTTAGTTTTTGTTGGAAATAAGACATATGAATGAAACTTTCAAATTGTCAAAAAAAGTAGGTAATGTATTTTTTGGTAATAAAGAAATATAATGATTTGATTGTAATGTGAATTCTGATAATGCAGCATAAAATGTATAATATTTTACATGAGAGAAATTGAAAGTCATTGGTAATTGTAGGAGATCAATAATTTAATACTCGACTTACTTCAATAACTTGGATGTTACAATATTGAAGAGAAACTTGTGTAATCAATGATGTTTCTTTTGTGGAACAAAAATTAGGCATAGAAACAAAAACAACACATTTTGAAGGGTTAATAAATAAATATTTTTGTATACATCAAAACAATTTTTAATTTTTTTAATTTTTTTTTAAAATCAAATTAGATGGAGGAATTTTTGTGGTTAAAACTTGTTTACTAATAAATTGTAGATTAATTTCTGATAACTCAAAAACTACTCCAAAATAATTTCATCAATACGGGAATACATTATTGAGAGTTTCACCAGAACAATTTCACATAATCACACGAAAAACATAGAAATTAACACATTACAAACGTTGAGTTGCTGGCAAAGATGCTAGATCAAGATTTATTATTATTTTATTTATTTGTTAAACAACACATTGTCATAGAATTGCTTTTAAAACATTCTTACATAAACTTCAAAATAAATAACGCTGTGAGTTTAACACTAGAGACTAATGTGTTGTGAGTATACATCCTTCATTTTCTATTTACCTCCCTTTTATTTTCTTGTAAATATACATGTAGAGAGAGATGCATAACTAATTAGTGTGTGACAATTCCGTTGTAAATTTCTCTTTCTTTAAGCTCCAATCAATTAAATCCTAATGAATGATCATTATGTATTTTGATAAATCCAACATTAATACCAAAGCCTCTCAACATCTGTGTTATGTATCTCACGTGCTAAGCACCACCAAAATTTGGTTGTACAATAGCAGTTGTTTATGATCCTTGATGCTCACTTACAATAATAATAGATAAGCCTGCTATTTAAAGAACCCTATCCATGGAAGTTCTTCCTCTCTGACACCGAGCTATTCATACTCTACTACCTACTTTCTCCTGATTACAATAAAAAATTAAGTTGTAGTTTATCGTTAATTTTGATTTGTTATGTTTCAACAACTTAATTGATATCACTCATAAAGTGATTTTCAATTTGATATACTTTTTACAATATAAATGTATGAAATATTATTAAAGATAGCTTTTCATTGTACAGCCCACTAGCTCTGTTCTATTTGAGCTGTCATGATCATTAAATATCCTTCTTGAAATGTACATTCATGTTATAAATAGTGCAATATGTTAGTATTAGTGTACCGCAAAGGTATTGAAGTACATAACATGGTGAAACCAGCATGTAAACAAGCATCAGAATGAGCTCTATGTGTTACTCTAAGATTGCCACACTTCATACATGAAATAATCTGAAACAGATAAAAACTGGAAAAGTTCATGGGCAGATACAAAAGTTTTAACAGAAACCAAATACCAGAAACTTGAAAGGAATCAGTTTCTAAAAAAAATTGACAGAAAAACAGAGAGGAAAGGAATTGTTCATTTATATCTGCCAAAGAGAAGGCCCAAAACACCCTAAAAAATCAGAGCCTAGCAGTGCTTGAGAAAAAAAAAACAGTTGAACTAATTCTCGTCATCTGCATGTATAGGTTGCTACACGTTGACTACAGCATCTATCGAGGGTGCAATCTGTGCAGCCTGTCTAACATTGTTGGCTAAACTACCCTGTAGCTACTGCATTCCTGGAGGTTCCAACAACCCAGGAAATTCCAACCAGATTTCTGTTCTGTTGAAAGATCATGTGAACAACCTACAGTGCAACCACATGTAGTCTTCGATCAACTCCACCAATTGATGCACAAACTTGTTAGTCCAGACGATTGAATGGTAGAGTGAACATATGAAATGTATTAACGCCCACGAAGTAGCACAGTAGTGAACTGGGTTTCCACAGTCATTAACTTTGTGTCTGAAACTGAAGTTAATCCCAGCAACAATTCTGCATTAGATTTACATCGTGGACGTTAATATCATTCATGTGTTCATTCTTCCACGTTAAAATCAGTCTGCTATGCTGCTCAGTTTCAACCTACATCCACATAACAGATCACTGGCCCGTCCCTGCCATAAGCTAGTCAACAAACATTGTCCCTGGCAACAGATGGAAATTGCATTTTAGCATCAGGACATTGTTCAGGTATTTTATGTTGCTTGGCAGAGTGATATTTATTGTGGCAGAGAAATCTAGATAGTTACAGCAGAGACAGGCGCCACAGATGAGCAGATCCTCAAACATGTTTTGAAGCTGTACGTGAGATCAAAACATGGGTACAACTTGTAGAACAATACATATACCTCGCCTGATGAGTTGCATGTTTCTACACCTTTCACAGGCCGTTGCACAGGCTTTGTTAGATACTTCATCCTAATTGGCTTCTAGTGTGTCGCAATGTAGATGATGACTTGGATTTTCGATCTTCAAATAACTCATATGTTGAGAATATAATTTCAACAACAACATCTAAGGAACAAAGAAAAGACGCTGCAATTTCCAGTGCAGAAATTGTCGAATTTGGAACTGTTCACAAAACCTGCAGTCTGTAAGTTATTAACCATCACAAGTAGTTCCAAAAGTTCCTCTGTTTGGAGGGAAGTGGAGCCGAACACCAATATACGGCATCACAACATACTGCAGCAGAGAGCAGTTAGACTCTGAGGATGCATGTTCGCGTGATCTTCCGAAAAAAATCAGTTAAGATATGGAAAAATAAGAATACTCCCTGCACTAGTATTATACGGGGATACGAGCGTCAATGACGCTACATACATTCTGCATTGATGCCAACATAATCTCAAGATGAACTCGCTCCAGCATCCCGTCTTTTACCACATTCGCATGCAGTCTCCTCACAGCAAGTCCAGTGCAGATTTGAAGGATTTACCGGCTTACGTTGATTAGCTTAACTTTCACAAGATGCTTGCAACAAAATGTCAGAAGATGTTGGAATGTGATTTGATCAATTTTTGAGTGAGGAACGACGGTGTTAAGCTTCTGCACGCAGCAATTGGTTATAGGAGTATTAAGAAGCCCTAAGTTCGTCTGAACCGGTACGTACTGTCATTGCCTTACATTGACTTCAATGAACAGTGTCCACATCTAAGCCACTGCTGTTTCGTAATTCAAGCTCATTGAAGCTACTCCACAAAGAGCTTAGATGATGAAGCCGAAAACAGAATTCATCCTAGAGAGTGTACGAACGGAGCAAGACAAACGAAATCCAGAAAAGTGGCAGAGCACAAGAATGGCGAGCTATGTAGGGAAGCCAGGGAAGAGGCAGTGCATGAGGACAACACCCTCAGGACCTCCTGGGCATGCTGTTGTCATGCATTGCCTCACGCTGGCTTCCCTCCCTTCCACCACTCTCTCTCTTCCACATCATCCCTTCCCTGCAAACAGAAATTGGAACAACGTACATGAGCTTGCTGAAATCCTAATCCATTGTCCGCTCATGCTCCATAAACGTGCAGAGTCCATAGGTCAGACATCGCAACAGATCTCCCACACGAGCATTTCATCCCAGTGCTTCAGAAAACACCTTATGGAAGGTTATGAAACACTGTTGGTGTTGGTGATGATCATGAAAAGATTGGTGGCATTGGAGGAATTTCAATGCAGGTCATGTTTTGAAATTTGCACCGGAGACCAGCAGCGATGCCTATTTAATGACCTCTGCATGAAGACCTAGGAACCACCATGCCGAATTGGAACGTACGAATTTTATCTGTTCATCGTACACCTCTCCGCTGAGATATGCCGCTCAGTTGGAATGATTCTTCGTGTCAGGTTTGGGTTTTTATTAATTCCAGCTCCACAATCTGATCAGTGTGAGTAATAAAACCGGCAATTCATGCACCCACAAACTAGCGGCTCTCAATAAGCATACTTTTCCCTGTCAGCTCTGACGAAAGATTAGCGAAGTTCCACAACAGAAGAAACTAGACTGCTCCTCCGGGAGCCCTACTTCATCTTACCAAATCCCAATTGAATACAATCAACAAAGGCTAGGCCTGACTCATCACAACAGAGACAGAAAACAAAAGAAAAATCTGTTGCTTTTTTACGATAATAACTCTTGGGCAACACTTGGGTAGGAATGAATTCGGGGCGCTCATAGTTCTGGAAAGTGCTGGATTTCATACGAACCAGCCACAATGCAAAACTTACAGCAGGAATTACGGCCATGTACAACGATGAACAACAAGTTAGAAAACCACTCCCCTGTTGCCAAAAGAAACGTGGTCCTGAGCTTCACAACTGAATCAGAAGAAGAGAAAGATATCAACACTCGTCTGCTGAGTGATCGCCTCCGCAAAATCTCCTACAGGGTCACTACGTTCAATCCTAGAAGCCATCCACAATCAGAATCAACTACTACTACAAACGCTGCTCAGCCATCGACTAATGTAGCGCTGCAATTGATTAAAAAAACACGATCAGCTGCGAGTTGCACTACACTCAGTACAATGTAGTACTACAACTACTAATACTCAAACCTAGAGCTCGGTCGATATTGGTAGTACGCGCTCTGACATCGTAAACCATTTCGCCACCCCAACCATTATCTTCACCATCCTCCCAACCCCAACAAGCAAAATGCCCAACAGAATACTCGTAATGTGCAGTACAAAGTTGGTTTTCCCCAAACGTACACCGACGCTTTACAACAAAAAACAAATGCAACAAAATCATGAATCTGTGCCAAACGAATCGGCCATTCCGGAGAATAATAGTGTCGACATAGAGGGAAGGAGATCACGCGAGCGCGGTGTACTGGCAGTGAAGCTACTGTTAGAGGGTAGTACACGATCGTAGTACAAGATGAATGTTCTCGGGAGTCCCCAATTGGGTAGTTCCCGGCACTGCAAGAGCCTGAGGCCGAGAAAGCACACTCTCGTGAAGTGTACTAACGACTTGACTGCCCTTGTACGAGCAGATTCTCCACAAAATGTGGCATATCCCTAGTACCGACCAACTACTCAAACAGTCTCACATTCTCTCACGCTCTCTCTCGCTTGCTTGCTCATCCTCCCGCTGAACGTTTCTCGTTGCCATCCCTTTGGAAACTCCTGTATCAGCATCGAATGATTCTCCTGATTTTGCCCACATGCGAATCAGCATGGAATCAATCAGCCGATGCAGCTCACCGCCACGACGCGTAATCGTGGACAACTGCTGATTCTCCTCTTGCACATGTCTAATTATAGGTCATGAGTCGAAACCCACAACAACATCAGACATTCATCTGGAGGGTTTGCAAAACGAAACAGTAGGGATTTGGGTTCCAGGAATAAGTCACGGTTCAGAACTTTTCTATGTCTAGACTGAAATCTGTCGATAGATTGTTGCGGGGACGAGGCAAAATTTGTATGTTGGGGCTGATTTCTCAAACAGAACTTGGCCACTTTAGCCGCATTCTTCAAAGCCCCGGAAAATACAGACAATTTTTTGGATATGGAACACTGAATACTAGTCAACGAAGTGCAGAATGTGATATCCATAATCCCAACACGACTTAATTAAAGTCAAATAAAAATAAGGAAAAAAGAAGAAAACACTCTTGCAGCAAATGTGCAGAATCTGGGCTACGAATCAACATATTTCACGGTGTTCAATGCAATTTTTGCCCGCTCCATTTGTGCGAGCTTTACATTCTTTTGTGGCCATCAAAATCTGTTCCTCTTCATCCGATTCAGAATGATAACCGGCCAAGATCTAGGGCCACATGGGTGCATGATATATCTGAAACCCTAATCGGCAAGCTGGAGATATTCTCTTTGCTCCTTTCTCTCAAAGTAATCGTTTTATAATAATATTAATGTTATTGAAGAGTTCTTCGATATCTATCCACTGATGCCACATTGTGTATGTGTATATATATATATATATATATATATATATAAATTTATATTTGAGTTGGAAGTTTCATTTGATATTATTACACTTTTATTGAATTAAATACTGCTGTGTAAAATATAAATTTGGTGTGTTGATTAAAGTTGATTATGGACATGGTGTTTTTGCTAACGTTACATTGTGATATATATATTTTTTTCATAGTTGTAAGAGAAAAAAAATAATAAATACATAAAAATAACTCCTAATCTACACATTTGATTTATATTTGAAGTCATTTATGTTCTTTGGAGTTATGAAGTTATACATATGACATTTATTTTTATTTTTATTTTATTTTTGTTAAAGCTTCAAAAGAATTACAACAAATATTGTCATTAATTTAAAAGAAATTAAGACTTCAATTCCTTCTAAACATCAAGTATAGTATTGATACTTTATTTAGTCATGACCAAATTACATTTAGTAGTATTATTAATTTATTGAGCTTAATTCTCATTACAATAACTAAGCTATGTAGCAAATTTAAGTTTTGATGCAAAAGAACCACTTTGATATATAAATCTTATTTCAACATTGCATAATTGTTTCTTTTTCTTATGTTGTAAATTATTAATAAAATTCTTTTGTATTTTTAAATTTTCACAAATATTCACAAATATTATTATTTAAATAATAATATTTATTAAATTATAAATATAAATGGTAAGGTGTATATATATATATATAAAATAAATGATAAGGTGTATATATATATATATAAAATAAATGATAAGGTGTATATATATATATATATATATATATAAAAATATAAAATAATATATAATATTATAATAAGACTATTGCTAAAGAATATTTAAATATTTTTATTAACTTAGGTATACTAAATATCTATAGAATTATGTCATCTTCTTTGTAGAAACAACTTTTAAAATAAACAATCAAATTCTAGGTTGTTCCACAAGTAAACTATACCTCAAATTTGTTGAATAGTATTTGCTACAAATATTCATTAATAATTTGAATGAATGTAGTTGGTTGGTCTTTTGAGTTATTAAAAATGTTACACATCTAATAAAAAGACTATATAGTACTTTGGTCATTTCTAAAGTTTTAATAATTATTTTCAAACAATACACTTGAAATTCTAAGTAGTATATTACCTACTTCTAATAACATCACTAAGCATTGATGCTTCTTTCTATAGTTATGGTATAAAAAAATAATACAAATTTCTATTAAATTGAATAAAACATGTCTTTCTTAAGAATCTTTATTTTGATTTTGTTGTTATTGTAAATATTATAACAATCTAAATAAATAATTTAGTAATTTTATAAATGATGGTTCTTAATATAAAGTCTTAGATTGTTGAATTTTTATTCTACTAAAGCAAATTCTATAAGAAAGTTATAAGATTGTATATGTATATATAAACTAATGAGTTTTTGAACTTTTTTTTTTGTTTCTTTATACTATCTTCTTATTGTTGTCAAAGATTGGTATTTAGTTTGGATAGATGTATTTAATAAAAGAAAAAATAAATAACAATAAAAAATAATATATTTTATAAATTCTTTCATATTTTCTATTCATAATTATTAATATTATATGTAAGCTAATATACAAAATACTCTAATTTAAATTGGCACCACCTTGAATCCAAGATTTCTTTTATCTCAAACTGTTCAAAAGATATAGTTTTACTTTTAGAAATTTCCTAGATATTTTTGAAATAAATTTAATAATATATAATACCTCAAAGAATTAAAGATTATTATCTCTTAATCAAGATAAGTTCAAAATAATAAAATTAGTTGCATATTTAACAAATAGAAACATTTTTATATTTCATAACTATCTACAACTACTTCTATTAGTGGGATTTTATAAGCAATATCTTTAAAAGATGAATATTTTATATTTATGACTTCTATATATATATATATATATATATATATATATATATACTAAAATCTTAGACTAAAAATATCTAGCAGTATCAATTAAACCTTTCATTAAGAAAAAAAATCTAATAAATAATAAAAAATAGAGTAAATATTGTATGCTTTTTAGGTCCTAAATAAACTTGTATTATTAAACTTGACGAAGGTTTATATGAAAATATATTAGCTTTACAAGATAATGTTGCATAAAAAGTTAGCTACATAATTTTTATTGCAATTAGATGTATTTTATTCGACTTTATTTGATTTATTTTGTATAATTTATATTAAAATGGTAATTTTTTTACTTCTATTTTTGTTTTTAAAATTTATAGTTATTGCTAAAAAATATAAATAATATCAAATACAAATTTTTTACAAATTACATCTTTTCTTTTTACATATAAATATAAAAAATTCCAAAAATGCATCCAAGTTACCTAATTTAGATTTTTTTGCTCCAAAATATTTTTAACTAAGATGAAATTGATTTACTATGTAATGTTTTAGTATATTATAGATGAGATGCTTCAGCCATCTAACCTAATGATTTGAGCTCAATAATAAATTTTATATGATTGATAACTCTACAAAACTTGGACATTTTTATTATGCAATAATAAGAAAAGAAATCCCAATTATTTAACAAATATCACCATATTTTTATAATGATTAGCAATAAATAAACCACTTCAAGTATAACAATTATTAAAGAATATCTTCCCAACTTTGTATCTTTATGTTTTTTGACTTCAAATTTAGTTGTAATTGTATATGAGGTCAGTGCATTGCAAATATAAGTTGTAACATTTGTTCATATATTCATATTTTTAATAAGAAGAAAAATAAAGTCATTTGAAAAATATAAAGTTTTAAATTGTCTACATTTTATTGCAATAATCAATTGTGATTCTTAAATTAGGATTATAATACAAAGTATTTGTTGACCTAGTTAAAGATGGCTTTGATCTTGTTTATATATATACTAAATTGGGACCATATAGAAGCATTCTAAACACCACAAAAATTATAGGAGAAGTTTCTAACTTGTAAGTTATTAAAAGGAAAGACATGGCCATTTCTTATTACAACATCCATTCAAGCAAAAGAATTCATGGCATGATTTGAGGACGTGGTTGTTTTCATGGGACAAAGGAGATCCACACATGGAAAGAAAACCACACTTCAGTATTACAGAAATAGCAAGTCTCACGAATTAGTGTGAACTTTCAACGCTACGATGGCTGCACATGTCATCCGCCACTCATCCGACCATCCATCATCCATCCACACACAGTTCCGGCCATCAAAGGGATCGCCACGTCACGATCCGGACAGCACAGAGAGGCTCGTCACGTGGCATAAGTCGTCCTTCTGGACAACGAAGTACAACGTACGTCAGATGTGGCGACGCTGACCCTCAAGAACGAGACGATATACTGATTCTCGCCGACGGAGACCAGAACGGGATTCCTTCTCGTCTCCCTGGCGGACGATGTCGCGACCCAGCCGTGCTTAACAGAGTGGCTGGCTGGCTCTGTTGCTGAAGAAGCTGATGCTGCTGCTGGCGGATTGTGGATGTGGGTGCATGCTCGGCGATTCATCACAGATGTGAGCGCAACCCCAGTCACTATTCACCCACAGCCAAAGATTCCTGAAATTTTCTGTGAAGGAGCGGTGATGAGGTGGAGAGATTGAAGCGGGGCACCATGTCGGGGACGTGTTGTAGGCCATGTTGCAACTTCGGGAAGCGTTGTGAGATTTTCCCAATGGTTAGTCACTTATCTGCTTAAAGCGTTTTTCATGCCGTGCCAGTGCTCCGCCGATGATGGTGAAGCATCGTCGCCGAATGGGCGGTGTGTCGCCGGCGACATGGCTGCTGCTCTCGCTCCCCGCTCTCCTCTGCTTTGCGGGCTTGCCGTTCATGCTCAGCTCGCCCGCCATCTCGCTTGCTACAGCTGCCTCTGTTTCCGCCCGCGAAGCCGCCGATCTGCGCGATGAGGTGGGTCACCGTTCTTGTTGGGTGGTGGATGTGGATTGAGTCAGTCTAGAGCGGGTGAAGGGGTTTTGGAAGTTTCTGCGTTTTGAGTGTTTGGTGAAGGTTTCCTGAGCGCGTATTGCCAAATTTTCTTCTGTTGATGGGTTGAACAATCGCGGTTTTTTATATGGTATTGAGTCTCCTCTTGTGATTGGATTTTATGTTAATGTTGGGGGTTTATGTTTCTCACTCTCATAGTTGCGGCAGGTTTGACCTAGTTGGTGAGTGAGCTTCCGCTGGATGCAAGATTATGTGTGTACCTTTTGTGTCTCAATCCAAGAGGTGTTGTTGCCTGAGTTGCTCGTGCAATGAATTGCATCCATTGCGATTCCAATATGTTTTATAGTAATTTAGTCGCGGACTAATGATTAGCTTTTCTTTTCCTCTAAGAATCCCGTCTATTTCTTCAGGGTCTCTCCTTTCGCAATAGTCAAGCTGTTTAGCGTAATTAGAATCAACAACCTAACCTGGATTTGTACATGCTGGCTTTCCGATTTAAGGTATCAAGTTTATTTGGCAACACGAGGATTCACATTAATCTAAGGGAATTCTGTTGGTGGAGGAATGTAATCAACACATTCAATTACACTTCCATACTGCAATTTTGTATAGAAATTTTATTTTGCCTACATCTATTCTTACTGAAAGCATTGAGTTTTGTGTTGTGTGAGTTACGCTTTGGTCATCGTTCTGGGGCCAATATTTCTAGTACTGTAGAAACCAAGTGGCATCAAAATTTGAAATCTTTCCGGAGTGTCAAGCGCAACAAGTTTTGGATAGATTGTGACCAATTTCTTGGTAGTAATTTAGAAATACTGTGCGAGGATTTAATGTTTGATGGCAAGCATGGGTCTTTTTTCTTTAAATTAGATTGGCTTAGAAACACTGACGATGAAAAGGTTTTAGGGTTCACAGTTTGGTAAGTTGCTTGTGAGGAGGCTAGAGGTGAAAGTTTGTAGATTTTGGTTAGAGTGCTGTACGAAGTCTGCAACTATTTTTGTGATTGGGATATCTACATCACAATCGCGGCTCATTGCGTCTGATTTACAGGCTCTGAATAGTCCTGTCTCTCATGATGAAAGATTGCGTTTATTCAGGTCAAGGATATGTTTTACCATGGGTTCGACAATTATATGGAATATGCATTTCCTCTGGATGAACTAAGACCTATGAGCTGCACTGGTGAAGACTCGCTCGGTGGTTACTCTCTGACGCTTGTAAGCTTCCTAGCTGGTATCTTGAACTTTTATCTGGAGATCATTTGCCTCTGCATTACGGTGGCACGAGAAGACACTGACAAATCATTTGAGTCGTCATGAAATCCTCCATTTAGATCAACCTGGATAACAGGGACTATCCCGCTAAGTCAATGTAGAAACGGTTTTACATTGAGGCAAGTGAATTGATTTTGTGCTCATTTGGACTGTCAGGTTGATTCATTGGATATGCTTGCTTTGTTGGGTGATCGCGCACGGTTTAGCAAGGGAGTCAACTGGCTCGGAAAAAATCTAAGCTTTGACAAGGTAATTGAAGCGGTTAATTTTTTGCTCTTGGGTAGCTGCTCTCTCAGAGAGGTCTTGCTGCAATACTATGATTTGGATGTTCTGCGTTTTCTAAGTCAATTTTTCATCAGACTTGGTTGCCATGATTGCAGAACAAAACGGTATCTGTATTTGAGACAACCATTCGTATGCTTGGCGGTCTTCTATCTGCTCATTTAATCGCTTCAGATGCTTCTACGGTACGTAGTTCATGTCTACAAAATAATAGTCACGCTTTTCCCATACTTTCATAGTCTGAGATTAAGCTTGTTTGCGAGGGAAACGAAGTCAAACCGCAACTCAACACTTGAATCTTCAAGTAATACGCCTGATGTGCATCTGTATCGCAGGGCATGCAAGTAGATCTTTACGATAATGAGTTACTGCGTTTAGCGGAGGATCTTGGGCGGCGAATGTTACCTGCATTTGACACACCTACAGGTTCTATTGTCACGAGTGCGCAGACTTTATATAATACTGGTATATTTTTGCTTAGGGTTTACTATGATGAAACTTTTTGTGCTTTATTTTTATCTGGTTTTAACCCCTCTGTGGGATGTTTCAGGTATTCCGTTTGGATCTGTCAATCTAGCGCTCGGGGTCAGCGATGATGAGAGTCAGGCAAGGCGAGCCTCTCCTAGAGCTACACTCCTTAGTCTAGGGTGTGCCTCTTAATCCCTTGCTTTCTTATGTCAAATTAAGAACAGGAGATTAATTGTTGGTCTTCGTATATCAAGCTATGGGGAACGTCTTCGTAATATTTTTTTTTTTGTTAAATCCTCCTGCTGTAATATTCAGCAGTTGTGGCTTTTGTGTCTTGCATTGATGTGTCTTTTACATGTCCACCAGTAAGCATTTGTTGCGAAGGCCAAGCTGATGAGATGCTAGAGTTTTATAGTCCTTTTAATTGAGGAACTGGTTGTCAAGGTGTGCAGGTGTCCTCAACCGCCGGCGGTGGAACTTTGACTTTGGAATTTGGAGTGCTCAGTCGGTTGACAGGTGACCCTGGTAAGAAAGAAGTTGCATCGTCGTTTTTGTATTTTGTTTTTTGGTTCTGGTAAATTTACTATCCTAACTGTGTCAGAACATACGAAGATACAACTTTCTTCCAACATTTTTACGATTGGTTGCAATGCCCGCTGCTTATCACAGTTAACATTTAATATTTTAAAAATCATGTTTATGTACTTTTATACAACTCGAAAGTATTGACTTGAAATCATTGAAAGTGTACTCATGTTTGGATGTCGAGGCTTTACTTACAAATTTTGGCTGTGTGGGGGCGACAGAATTTGAAAAGGTCACGAAGCGAGCAGTTTTAGGGTTATGGGCACAACGGTCACGATTGGGACTTGTTGGAGGTCACATCAATGTATTTACAAGCGAGTGGACACACAAAGTACACTTCTTTTCCTGTGTGTAGGCTACTGGATGTTTGAAAATATGCCATGGGGGAAATGACTGGATAAAAATAGTGCAAAATGTGTTCCTTGGGGATGTCAAGAAACTATTGTAATTGTTTGACTCATTGACCCAAATTTGAAGGTTTCGGTATTCCTCATTAGGATTGAAGCTAGTGATTCATGTGTTTGCTCTGCTGTTTAGCAAGAACACTGCAGATGCTAAATTGCAATATTACTCATGCGGGGTATGTGCTATAGGATGCAGGCATTGGTACCAGCATTGATTCGTTCTATGAGTACCTACTCAAGGTCAGTTTCCCCTTGTTGTCATGTTCCCGTATTTGTGTTTATGTTATGATAACTACGTTTGCCAATCCATTGAAGTTCGCCAAAGTGTTCAATTTGGATCAAACAACCTTCTGCTAAGAAATATTCGCTCATTAAATGTAATACTTGGTAATCGTATTTGTGCATGGAGGTAATTGTTTATCAGTATATCGGATCATTGTTAATTATTGGAAGGCATGAAATTACTTAAATAATATTTATAGGACTTGGTGATTTTAAGTAACTGAGAGGGTCTCTTCCGAGTTATGTACCTGGTGTTGATTTGTTAACCTTTTTGTGTAGGCATATTTGCTATTGGGGGATGAAGAGTACTTATATATGTTCAAAGAGGCTTATAAATCTGTCATGCGTCATCTTCACAATGATCCCTGGTATGCAAAATTGGTCCTTGATGTATTACTTTCTCAACTTGTCATGCAAGACATGCAGGCTAATTTGTGAATAAACTTGATTGCGCAATTTGCATTTACTGCAATTCATTTGGTCAACGCCTGCGCCAAGTATATGTATTTTTAATTTTAGGTTCGGTTGTTTTATTCTAGGTACTTGGAGGTGAACATGAACTCGGGTGTTGTTGTGTGGCCTTTGTTTAATAGTCTTCAAGCATTTTGGCCGGGCTTACAGGTATGGACCGTTGATTATGTTTCGAACTTTATTTTGTAATGTCGAAAATGTTTCCCTTATGTTTTAATCTATTCGTCAAACTATTTGCTCTAAGAGTTCAATCGGTTAGCATGTGCTAGACCCTGGGAGTGCATGAACACCACATATTTCTGTGAAGTTCATATGTTCCTTGCATGTGAAACAGGTCTTGGCAGGTGATGTTGAGCCTGCAGTTCGTACTCACAAGGCTTTTTTCGCTGTATGGAAGCGTTACGGATTCACACCTGAGGGCTTTAATTTGGCTACATCCAGTGTGCAAGTAAGAGTAATCGTCATTCGATAGAATAACACAGCGTCATTTTCTAAGATCAACTTGTCAACATGATCTCCTTTCACTGTTCTATTTTTTAAAGTTTTTAAGACGGCTCGGCTGTGGGCTGCCTCTTGGTACATGGAAGTTTGCATCTGGTTTTGATTAGTCTTGCAAAATTGGAAGGCCTTGTCTACCTTTCTCTTGTCCCAGCTTATTATTGGGTGACGTTGCACTAATGCTGGAAGTTATCCTCTTGTTTTCAAATTTTATTAAGATTGATCTTGTTATATGCAGAACTCTGATGGGAGTAATATGTTTTGCAGCCAGGTCAAAGGAGTTACCCGTTGCGCCCAGAGCTTGTAGAGAGCACTTACATGCTTTACAAAGCCACTCGAAATCCTATGTATGTGTTTCTTTTAGGCTTTATTTGTTTTAGCTTTTGAAACTTTATTTATTTATTCTTCTGCTTTGATGTTTTGTGCTACTCTTTCGTGCTTCTTTACTCGTGATTGATTTCGATGCTCATTTGTAGGCTTTGTATGCATAGTATGATTGAAGTAGTTAGTTAATTGTTTTGAATCATTGTTGTAGGTACTTGGACGTCGGACGGGACGTAGTGGCAAGCTTGCAAAGGTCGGCAAAGTGTCGCTGTGGCTATTGTCATATAGCAGATGTGGAGTCACATGAACAGGATGATCATATGGAGAGCTTCTTCTTAGCTGAAACTGTAGGTGATCCTTCCCTTCACAGTCTTCATATTATCATTGTATTTGTAATAGATAGCTCATTTTATGATTTTTTTTAGTCTTCCATTTTTATCTTTCTGTACTGCATTTATGCTTTTTGTATTGCTGCAAATATTTGTTTGGCATTGAATCCTTCATTTATTAGAGTCAGAATGCTTCATGATAGAAATCCTGGTATTTGTTCAAACTCACTTTTCCATCCTAATCGTGGTGGTTTACAGGTGAAATATCTTTGGCTGCTTTTTGATTTGGGTGCTGGTGGGGACAATTTGGTAGAGAAAGGCCCTTACCCGTAAGTACTCGAACCTGTTTCTTTTTCATGCATTTCATATTGTAAGTATTCGTTCAAAGGATCACAGGCTTCATCCTTGGAGTCTTATTGTCAGTGGGCCTTGTTTCGATTTTGTTGCTTCCTGTGCCCTTATTTATGATTATATCTCATTTGTGTTCGATACTTTGTAATCGGTAGCTGGTAGTATTGCTTGTGTTTGTGGAGCATAAATAAGAGTCCACCTAGACAACCAAGATTTACACTGTAAGTGATATCTGAGGGGTGTCGTTGCTTCTTCATCTATGTGAAATTTTGCAGGTATATTTTCAACACAGAAGGTCATTTTCTGCCGATGTCTCCAGAGATATCACTACCAGCTGAGCACTGCACTTATGCAGGCAGCTTTTGCAGAGAACGAGTTGTTGGAAGACTTGCAGCTGTTAAGAAAAACCTGAAGAAAGAGCTTCTTAGTAACAGACAGGAAGAAGAAGACAGTACCGGTCACTGCAAAGACAGCAACTTGAATGGTCAAACTTGCTTCGACTTACATAATGATAGTGAGGAGCCTGGGATCGGGGACAACGATTGGACTGCTTCATTAAGAAGCCCTCTGAAAGTATGTGTTGATTATTCATATCTGTATAACGTTTGCGCCGCAGCTCTGGTCCCATCCAGCTAAAACTGTCGTTGATATTTAGGCCTTGAATTTGTCCAAATAATCTGATATGACGAGTACGCTCTAGTTGTGTCGGGGGAATCAACTGTGTTGCTGGGTAGAACTAGCTGGAGTGACATACAAATGGCTGTTAATCATTCATTTTATTCTGCTACAGGGTATGTGTCCGAGACTGAATCATTGGAGACAAGTCGGTTTTGATCCTGGATCACAGCCTAGAGCAACTCCGCGCGCCAAGCCTGGTCCTATTGAGCGTGAAGACAGTTATTCCCCAAGAAAGGAAGCCATCTTCGATGAAGGATGAGGTGAAACCTGTGAAAATTACTATTTCAACCAATGAAAGAAGGTAACAAAGTTCCTTGGAGGAGCGAATCAAGGATCGCCGAGCAGGATCAAATGACGGGAATGTTGTGATGGTCATGCAACAATCCAATTCACTAGTGGCAACGCAGGTGAATTGAATTCCAGAGGGAAAGAGAGGCAGCATGCAGATGTTTCGGATAGTATCAGGACGAAAAAGATGCACAATTATCGGGCAAATGATGCGCTATTGCTGCATTGTTAAGCGCTCTGGTTGGTGTGTATGTTGCAGCTGCAAGAAAACAAGAATGTGGCGCCTGCCTAATTCTCTGGCCACAATCGGCCAGTATTGGAGGCATTGCGTTATTTGTACCAATGTCGGTTGCGTCGCAGATTCTCCTTTTTGCTGTCGCCTTGACTTATCATTTAATTTATTCACTCTGAGTCCTCTCAATGAGTTCCATATTTAACAAGGGTTCTGTTTACTTGTGGAGCAACCAGTTGTAAGGTAGAGTAGTTTTGTGTCTGGGGAGAGAGTTCATATACTCAACACGATATAGATAGTTGTGAAGTGTAGCAGTTGAGAATAGGTTATGAGAGATCACACCCAGACAAACGACGTGTTGGGAATAAAGTTAACTGCTTAAAGAATTACTTCGAAGCTGAATTAAGGCGGTTTGAGGAGAAATGCCCAACGTAGTAACTGGCATGGGCTGCAGACGTCGATGTCGTCAATGCAACGATCAACTTTTCACAATATAAATTGATTATTTCAGTGAATGATCATAAAATATTCCAAGTGTAATTATACTAAGCGCAGAGTAGACATGCCTGCTGTGGACTGGACACAATCAATCGGACACTCGATTGATGTTGATACGAACTAATTTTTTTTCACTTTTCCTTTTTTCATGGTCTACATCCTCTGTGCAGCACTTTCATCGGCTGTGAACGCTAACTTTTCATGCAACAATGAATACCCAACCATCGTGGGATTCTGTCATGCCTATCCTAGGTGAAATAAAATACCTTTGAGAAGAGCCTCGGACCATGGCGTGAAACTGGGTCAATCCAAGACTTATTGCTGAAGCTGGAATCAACACCGAACGTATAAAGCAAACTTGTGTTCCATAATAGTCTTGAAATAAATTCTTATTTAAATATATACTTTAACGGCTTTTGCCTTTCTAGGTCTATATTTATCAGGTTTTACAGATTGTGTAGACGTGGATAAAATGAAAGTTTTATCTATTTAGACAAGATTGTTAGTATGAAAGTGATTATCTTAATACACTTTTTGATCACTTCTTCTTCCATACACCTATCCATTCTCACTTCCTCCATACTATACAACTGCTCAATATGATTTCTTGAATCTTTGAATATTATGATGCAAGTAGCATCAAATAGATCATCTAATCAAAATCACATTTGATACATCTTTTTGTGAACATTTAAAAGCTACATGTACAATTAAACATGATGCATCATATTGTAATAAATGTTTTTCCATAGGCTTGACCTTTCTTCCCTAGAAATGCACAAGCCAAGCCTCTTGTAATACTTTCTCAAGTAAATGGCATAAAACCATTTAAAACACTTTTGTATCAAAAAGATCACAAGTTCAAAGAACATTCCATTTATGTCAAATAAAACTCAACATAAACAACCATCATCTTGTACTCAAAGCTTTTAGGACAAAAAAGTCTTCTTATAAGTCCTTCCAAACAAGAAACAACCTGTGCTACAAATTAAACACAATTACTTAAAAATCTCTCACTGTTAATATTGTCTAGTCCTTCAATAAGTTGTTTAATAGGTGCTAAATGTGTAGGTTTGATACATGGAGGTTGGTGCTCCATTGGTAGGTTGGGGGACTTGATGAAATGTTTGGGTGTTGGGTTGAATTGAAGGGGTTGTCTTTGTTGCAAAGGGGATTGAAGATTGGGTGTAGTGAAGATGAGAGAGATGCAATGCATAGAAAGCCCCCAGTTTAGTTTAGTTGGTAAGCGGATGTGGTTTTAAGCAAAGGAGTTGTGGTAGGTGAGAGGCAAAGGTGCACATTGCAGTGGTGGGGGGTACTGTTGACCCCTGTTGTATTGCTTGCTGGCGCGAGTGGCAAAGAGAGAGTGAGATAGAGGGGGGAAACGGGATGTGTGCCCGAACATAGACGAGGGGGAAGAGCGTGAGCGAAAATAGAGAAGCATAGAGCTGATTGTGTGATCCAAAGGGCCATACCGGTACTCGCGCCAGATAGGGGTCGAACCTACGACTTTCTGCTTAGGAAACAGACGCTCTATCCACTGAGCTACAGGCGCTGCACAATCATCGAATATCGCAGTAAATTGCGAGTTCGGTCTTTGTGTGATGCGACTGTTTGAGATTGACATCATAACCAATTACACCAACCAGACTTCGACCATCCCAGTCACCTCCTCAGCTCACCGGCTACGCCCGCGCCGCGTCCTCTGTCGAATCTACCTCCTCCCCCCTCCCCCCGCGCCTGCAGCTTGCCCACACCCCTTAACTTACTCCGCACATGAACCCTCTGCGTTCCATCACCCTTCCCTTGCCCCTCCCCTGCCTTCACGGACAGAACCTGGACCTGCCCCACCATCTCACCCGCTCCTAAACCAAAACCCAGCAGCAGCCATCCACCCTGGTTTCGCTTCCATGCTCCCACTTCAACGTTGCCAGCCGAGTTGCGTGCAACAACCCATCCATCCGATCCAACACCCGCCCCACTGCCTGCCAAACGGTCCCTAGAACCGCCTCTCTCTTCTTCTCCCCTCCCCTTCTCCGCTCCGCCTGCTGCTGCCTCCTCCTCCTCCCCCCATGGACAGGGTTGTTGTGCACTAGGAATCACCCCAGACGGTCCAACATAAGGTCCTCCTTTAACAATATGCTATCCAATTTAAGCACTAGAAAAGCAACCAAAAACGCGCACTTTGAAAAATAGTCCCAAATCACAAGAAATTATAAACAAAACAATTGTGTGGTGAGCTTGCTGCATATTGTTGTTAGTCTTTTGATCTTGATTGTTGCTACCAATTGCAATGCAGTGCAATGATTTTGTTCTCCTCACTAGTAGATCTTCTACATACATGTCCACATGCTTTTCTTGTTGTATGTATTTTTCCAAGAATTACTTATATAATTAGGTAGAAATAATTAAATGTAGATTAATTCCATAATATCCTTAAAAGATGGTTCCTAAAAGCTTTGTAGACATGGTTTTTTCTTTACATGTGTTTATAATTCATTAATATGTTAGAAACTTGGTCAATAAATTAACCATGTGCCATATATATTAGTAGCTTGTTGAATAAGTTAACTATGTGGTGTATATATAGAAAACTTATCTTGTAAATTAAGACATGTATTTAATAAAGTCAACATGTGTTGGAGGTTCTATAGAACATTGCCATGTAGTTTTTAGTTAGATAATACATACATAGAGGCAAAAAGGAAGCCTTCTTCACTCTTATCAACATCTTTCTAATCTTTAGTCTTGTTTCAAGACTTTCTAGTCTTTTTATCTTTGGCAATAGTCATTCTTGTTTAATATATTACCATCTTTGAATAATTTTGTAGTCTTTTTGAGTGACACAAGTATGTATTAAAGTTTTCTTTCTTTGAGATTCATATCATTGACAGTTTGACAAGAATTCTAATTTATTGATCTTGTCTTGTTTTAGAAGTGAATAGATTACCTTACTTCTATTGTTGAGTTTTCTAACTATTTTTAAAATGTTCCAATTCAAAATAGTTTGAACCTTCATATGATCATAAGGTGGTCCTTTAAAATAATGTATCCTAAGAAGTCAACTTGAGTTCTATGAAATATACACTTTTTAAAATTTACATATAATCTTGTATTTCTTAGTTTTTATAATATATGTCAAATATAAACTCCATGCTCTTTTATATTTTTAGAATAGATTAGAATGTAGTCTAAATAATAGACAACAAAATCATTAAGAAATTCACAAAAATATCATTTATCAGATGTTAAAAAGTAGTTGGTGCATTTGTGAGTCTAAAATACATGACATTATATTTGAACTATTGATACCTGGTTTGAAATATAATCTTCTATTTATCTCATTTTTTAATACATATTAGGTGATATGCTCCTTATAGATCTATTTTTATATAGATCTTTGCTTGATTTAATTGATCAAGAAGTCTTGAAATCAAAGGTAGAGATTATCTGTTCTTGATGGTGTTCTTGTTGAGTCCTCAATAGTCCACATACATCCACAAAGATCCGTCTTTTTTCTTCATAAATAAGATAAGAGTCCTAGCTGGAGATTTAGAATGGCATATGAAATTTTTAGCCAAATTCTCATTAATATATTCCTTGTGCACAGCTAATTTATTTTGTGATAAGCTATAGATTGCTCTAAATGGTGGTTGAGCTCTTTCTTGAAGATCAATGAAATAATCATAAGCACTATGCTTTGGAAGAATATTTACATTTTTTTTTTTCAAAAACATCTTGATAATCTTCATATTATCTTGAGATGCCACTTGAAATATTTTTTCCATCAACAATAGGTGTGGCATATTTAACAAAAGTTGACTCTTTTTTTGTAACATGCACAAAAGGTCTTACACCTATAAATAATGGTTTGGATGTATTGATCTTATAGGTTTCTACTTACCTAGTAAAATTTTGGATTAAACAATGGAAAAAATCAAAATTACAAGAAATCTAGTCTATTTGAGAGTTGTATTTTTTTAGTTACGATAATCCTAAAATAATTGGATTAAAAGAAGATCTAATCATGTTAGATATTATTGAATTATTATGACCATTAGTTATTATATTTAAAAGAATAATTTTATGTATAACATGTCTAAGAGACAACAAATGACTATCTGTTATTTTTGCATGCATAGGTTTTATTTTCTTAATTAAATATATATCTTTTTTTTGACAAAGTCTTTGTTTATAAAATAAGCCGAGGCACTTGAATCTAACAAGGCTAAGACTTTATGATTTTTTAGTCCTAAGAAAATTTCTATTATAAAACAAAGTAAAAATCTAAGAAGAGAATAAAATATTTACTATGTGTTATATAAGTTTTCAACTATATAGTTTCTATTGTACTTGAAAAAACTTGTTTTTTGACATCTTGTCCTTTTTGGCAACTATGCTCCCAACTTTGTAATTGCGTAGTTTCTTTGCATAATGTTAAGTAGTATACTTGGATTCTCCACAATAAATCTTTTTGGCATAAATCTTCTTGATAATAATAAATCTTTTCTTATTAGATAAAAGATTTAAAACAAACTCTGTCAATTTGCATAGACTTTGGTCCAGACGAATAAGTTTCTAAAATATTAGAAGGCATTATTATGACTTGAGTTGTACTTTTCTAATCAAATCTTTGTTCTTGATATCTTTCAAATAGTCAATTTTTGTATGCAATAGCTTAAGCAATAAATTACTTCAATGAATCTATTCTTGGTATTTTCAATAATAAATCTTTGACATTTTCTTTTAGCTCATATTAAAATTGATTGATAAAGGCTATGTCATTCTAATACACATAGCAAGCAAGATTTTGGAATTTTACAATATATGTGGTAGCTAAATATGATCCTTGTTGTAGCAACATGAGCTTAATCTTTGCTATCTTTTCTTGATTACTTTCTCCAAATGTAGCTGCAAACACTTTTAAGAGAGAATTCAAATCATAAAGTAGTTGTAAATCTTTTTCTATCAAAAGTGCAAGCTAAAAAAATCACTTTTAGAGAGAAGTGCTC